CGGGCCATTCAATATCCTCCCCCCCCCCCCCCCCCCCTCTTCTCGGATATGTGTGCATAAGCAGGAAATGCTGAGACATCCAGAGGAAGCAGAGGGATGATGAAGAAGCCTTCAGACCTCCACTTTTTTTCTTCCTTCCTTCTTCCTGTTGTGTGTAAGAAATGTGAGGATATACAAGGTGGGCCAAAAAAAAGGGAACTGATCTTTGACTTGAAATAGCTCAGAAACAAATTGAGCTGTGGCAATGAAAATAAACACCAAATGAAAGCGTGTTCAATTCTCTTTCAAATGGTATAACATTTTATGGTCCCAAGGGCCACAGAATTGTCACAAAAACCATTGGAATGAAAACTTTCAGGGGGAAAAAGTTGTCCAGCAACTTTTTTCACTAAGCTGCTGATCTAGAGAGCTGTTTGCATCAATTCAGGAAATGAATGATGCTAGAATGTAACCAGCAAACTTTGTGCTGTCTTGGAAAGCCTGCACATGCTCCCAAAAAGTCAGACAGGCTTGTCCTGGCCAAGAACCTGTGATCAACCTAGTATCACTCAGTTAGATACTCATACACAGCGCCATCTAGACAGAGCAACAGAGACACAGAAGTGCATTCACACAACCCAACCCAAGGATCCAGGAACCACAAACTGGATGTTTGAAAGTGGGGCTGCCAATACAAGGTTGGGGAAGTGGGAGCTGAAGTGAAAATAATTTTGAATTAAATTGATTGCCTGGACAGATTTTTTTAATCCAAGTTGAGCGTGATTTTAAACTGAATTAAACGGATTTTGACTTTCACTCCAAATCAGTTTCATTCAAAATTATTTTCACTTAATATCAGTTTGGGCAATCCTTGTTGCGGGTCAACTAGATGTTGCCTGCAGTGCAGGGACAAGCAAGGCACAAAAAGTACAATGCAGCATATGAAACGCCATGTTATACTAGGAAAAGAAAATCAAGAATATTCAAGCTAGTCACGCCCCAGTGAAAACCTTGGAGAAGCTTTCCACTGGGGAGGACCTGGACATGAGAGAAATCATCAGAAGAATCAATCAATCCTGCTCTGGACTTTGGAGAGAACAGACCTGCATATTGTGTGTGACTTATTTAGTTGGAAATATTTGTGGACTTGGACATTTGGAGTTATAAACTGATGTTGAGGAGTTTGGAATCCTCAGGCTGCAAATGGCCAATTGTGTCTTCTAGGTTTATTTCACTATAAACCAAATCTTTGTTGTGTGGTCTAAGGACCCACCACAATCCCATCATCCAAAAAAAAGAGTTGCTTGTGGTGTGTCACTGGGAGCTGCAAGGGAAATGTCCAGCAGCATGCCTGCACAACAGGAGATCCACTGTATCGTATCTTGCCAATTTCCTTCCCCATTTTCAACCCCTCTGTCTGCATTTTGGGAGCTTGTGCAGGTTCTCCAAGACAGCACGAAGTTTGCTGGTTACATTATTGCCTCATTCATTTCCTTTATTGATGCAAACCGCTCTCCAGATCAGCAGCAGCTCACTGGAAAAATTCACCTGACACCTTTTATTGTTGTTGAAAGTCTTCATTCAACGGACTCGTCATCAGTGCTGCAGGAGCTGAAGGAAAAGTGCTCTCTGACTTTTTCTACGTTCTCAACGACATCATCATGAAGATGGTGGAGATGATCATGTGGTGAATATTCAATTTAGGAATTCTAGGCAGAAACCATCGCATTTATACCTCCTATAATCGAAAAAATTTTGAGTTTCCCACGAGATTGGAAAGTGTGCACTGTTCAGGGGGAATTTTTAAAGCTGTTACTGTTTTCTAACAAAATTGTACGCAAATTTCAAGATTCCGTTATTTGTAATGGAAACAGTGAAAAATCTCGTAAAAATAATTCGTTGTATTGACGATGAAAAACATTTTCTTAAAAAAAAGAGATTCTTTGGAAGTGTTTTTGCTATCATCCGTTTATCTTAGGATCTTGGAAAAACCTTCCCATGCGGGTTTAGAGTTCATAGTTATAGCGTAATTGTACGTGTAGCCCTAAAATGTTAACATGAATATCATACGCTCTGCAAACGTTTCAAGAAAGTTTAAAATAAATTGTTTAAAAGCAAGAAAAATCTTTGTTGACTCTTGGCTCTTGGCTGTCACCTATTCAAACCCCAGTCAACTCAACTCTTTCTTTCTACAACACTTGAATCCACAGTTATTTCCTGGAATTTGGAATTTTTTTTTTTAAAGAAGGGCTATGATGGGAAGCGTTAATTCCTCAATGAAAAATATCCTTACCAATGCTTAGAACCATCTTAACCACCCGGCCAGTGTTATCTGAAGTGAAAACCCTCAAACATTAGCAGAATCCAATAAAATACAGGTGGTACCTTGCAATTTGACCTCCCACAATTCAACCATCCCACAATTTGACAGTCAAATTTGCAGGGAGGTTGACTTGCAATTCAGCCCTTGTCCCACAATTTGACCTGTTTTTCCATCTTTTTTAGCATTTTTGTATTTATATTTTGAAATTGATGGAGTGTCTTGCAATTTGACCAATTGGCAACTTGACCCTACTTTGGCAACAGATTAGAGTCAAAATGCAAGGTACCACCTGTAACTGACGATGAAGGGCACTATGGAACAAATGTAACAGGGACAATCAACCAGTTTACAGCCAAGAACATATATATGTGCTGCATTCAATGGGATACCTTAAATATATATGTATCAATTTTTTCATAATTATTTATTGTGTAAATTTGATGGCAAAGAAAAGACACACACTACAAGGAACACAAAAAACAAGTGAATAAGAATGAATTTGTGAACAAGGCAAAATCCAAACACAGATTTAAAAATTGCCAAAAATAAAAACGAATTAATAGAGAGAGAGAGAGAGAGAGAGAGAGAGAGAGAGAGGGAGTAGTGATCCTCTCACAATGAATGTTGCTTAAAGACTGTATCTATCTTTTATACAAAAAGTTCAGAAAGGTCTTTACCTCAGTGCATTCCCTACAGTCTTACACAACAACAACAACAAACATCTCGAAGTCCTCTCTGACGAACCAGCACTGGCCGCAATTAAAGTCATTTGCACAGAAAACCAAACCAAGTTCCCTCGTATAATGAATAACTTCACTATATAGTGCATAATTATATGCATGCAGGTATTCGCCATTCGGGATCATGTGCTTGATCGCGGGTAAACTGATGGAAATCGACGATTTGGAAAGAACGGCGGGCATGTTGGGCATGTACATGGTGACGGTGATCGTGGGTCTGCTGATACACTCAGTCATAACACTCCCGCTCATCTACTTCGCCATCACCAAGAAGAACCCGGGCACGTTCTTCAAGGGAATGCTCCAGGCCTGGGTCACTGCCCTCGGAACTGCTTCAAGGTATATAAATCGTATTCTAAATGCTGTACTCGTGTCTGCTGTATATAGTGCATAGTAACGAACATTAACTCGGAGAGCAGTTGTATATATATACAGTATACAGTTTTCTGCCGGTTCCTGTTCTATATGCTGATGAAGGTTATATTCGCCGGAATGGTATGTGTCAGTGTTTCCAACCTGTTTAGGCACGTGGACCAGCAAATTTCCAAAAAAATATCTGCAGACTAGAAAATTTTCATGGAGTAAGTTGCAAGACTCAAAACAGTTTTGTTTGAAAGTATTTATGGCAGATATTGAAAAATTGTCTGCCTGTTGCAAAAATTAAGTCAAGATCCAATGAAGCAGCTATATTGGAATGTCTTCAAAATATTAGAAAGGTGGGCTTGGAGAAAAGAGTCTCAGAATGAAAAATTAAAATACTTCATTCCAGCAGATGACAATTTGTCTGAATTAAGTATTACTGTATTTACTCAAGTACCACGCACCCTCAAGTAAGGCGCACACAGGGGTTTTTCAGAGGAAAATTTTGAAAAAATCTTATCCCCAAGTAAGACGCGCACCCCAATTTTTAGTGAATCTAAAACCATAAAATTTCAAAAAAAAAAAAAAATTCGAATTTAGGCATGAATTGAACAAAAATCTAATCAATTTTCAACTTTTTCAGTACAAAAATGTTTTCTTCTTATATTTGTTCCAAATTTCTCCATTATAATTAAGTATAATGCAAACATAACTTCCTAAAACTTCTTGAAAATGTTGTACCTGCTTATGAGGTGCACCCCTTTTTTTCTTTAGAAATTTAGGAAAAAAGGTGNTACAAAAATGTTTTCTTCTCATATTTGTTCCAAATTTCTCCATTATAATTAAGTATAATGCAAACATAACTTCCTAAAACTTCTTGAAAATGTTGTACCTGCTTATGAGGTGCACCCCTTTTTTTCTTTGGAAATTTAGGAAAAAAGGTGCACGTGGTACTCAAGTAAATACGGTATTGGGAGAAAAGCCAACTCATATGTTTCATCAGATAATTTCAAATGCCATTGTCTTTCCAAATTTTCAGGTAGAGATAACAGACTTCATTGCTACTTTTGAAAGATTTATTTTGCTCAAGAAAATGTCTTGCGGACTGGCACAAAAAAACTTCTGCAGACCAGCACTGGTCTGTGGACCACCAGTTGGGGAAGGATGGTGCAAGTATGTAATACACAGAAGCATTTTCATAGTATGAAGTGTTTGTTCAAATATATATAGCAGTACAATTCCTCCATCGGAAAATCTGGTTTTTCTAATTCAAAAACTTCCCAACTTAAATTTGTTGTATATGGGTCCCTCTAAGTTTGACATAAATACAGATTCATGCTAAAATAAATATTAGATTGTCCTTCGTATTTACTTGCATATATAAATACAGAATTAAATTTCAAACTGCATGATAATTTTGGGTTATTCCGAGAAGTTTAGTTATAAAAACGAGCGATTTTACTGCAGTTCGGCGACGCTGCCAATAACTTTCCGGTGCTTGGAGGAGAACAACCACATTGACAAGCGCGTGAGTCGGTTTGTGGTGCCCGTGGGCGCCACTGTCAACATGGATGGAACAGCATTGTACGAGGCGGTCGGCGCCATCTTCATCGCCCAGCTCAACAACATTCCATTGGGTGCTGGTCAGATTGCCACCGTCAGGTAATTTTCCCTTTTGTGACTGTTGGGGACTGTGGCAGGAATTGAATAAAATATAACTATCCTCCCACATCCCAAAAACTGGTCCTTTGGTGGGAGCCTCAGAGAGAACCAAAAAACAAGTTCTGGAGAACTGGTATATATGAGGATGCATAGCATATCCTCTTCCATTTCAAGGAAATCAACTTTTATTGTCTGTCCTCTCTCTTATGGAACTCAGTAAATTTACTCATTCCACTGCCAACTCTCAAGCTGATTAGACCTAAAAACTACGCATTGAATACTAAGTACTTTCCTGTTATCTCAGTGCCTACTTTCCGTGCACCTACCAGAAACTGTGAATTTCATTTTTCCGCATTCTGCTGAAACTGATTTTGGGAGGCGGTTAGGTAAAAACATAACCTGACCTAACCTAACCTAATGAATACTGAATTCACGAGACAAAGAAAAATGGGTACTGAGATAACAGGAAAGTACCAATCACTATGAGAAACCTTGTCTGAAGTTACATTTGTGTTGTGTGAAGGTATTTGTGTGGGAGTTGCAAAGTTCTCTGAGTTGAATAATGTTGTACTGTATTGGGACATTAATAAATCTCAATTTCTTGGAGCCTCTATAAAGAGGCTCCCAGTCAGTCCCAGGCTGATTGATGTGTTTTACTTTAAATTCTAATCACATTTCTTTGTTAGGAACATTTAATACCTAACAGAGACCAAATTAGGAAGATCAGTGAGCGTTTTCTTTCCTGAATATTTTTTCCCGCGAAAAAAAATTAAAAACGGTGCAGAAAACTTGTTTTGATTGGAACTTTCCAGGCAAAGAACCGATGAGTGAATAAACACTGCTAGATAATTCATGCACAAAATATGGCAATTAATCAAAATCGTTTTCTTTGGGAATTTCGTAAAAGAGTCTAGATCTGAAGGCATACAGTATTTCCGTAATTGGAATTTTGAAGTTTTGAGCGCATTCTCGGTAGATGTCAGTCACGTAAAAAAGGAAAAAGAAAAGACAATCGCAGCAGCTCTGCGATGGAAAGTCGACAGCGGATCTGATCTAAACCCCTTTCCAATCGTGCTCTTTATTTGCTTTAGCATCGGACGAGATGTGAAAGCGTGTTGAAAAATCCCTCTGGAATATAAATGACTACTGTACATGTACAGTATATATATATATATATATATACATATATATATATATATATATATATCTGTGTATGGATTTTCCTTTTAGNTATATATATATATATATATATATCTGTGCATGGATTTTCCTTTTAGCTGTGGTTTATGACATTGTGCGCGCATTTTTTTTTTCGCACGAACAGCTTGACGGCCACTTTGGCAAGCATTGGAGCTGCATCGATCCCGAGCGCAGCTCTGGTCACTATGCTTATGGTGTTGACAGCTTTGGACCTTCCGACTTCCGACGTTTCCCTCATCTTCGCAGTCGACTGGTTTCTGTGAGTGTTTTTTTTTTCTCTCTCTCTCTCTCTTTTGCTTTAATCTTTAGACAGCAGAGGATTTTTCTCAAAATATAGACGTCACCAAACTATCGTGATCGTGAAAAAAGTAAATTTGGTGATGATCCGTTCTCAGGTTTTTTTTTTTTTTTTTTTTTACATGGATGAAAAATTTTAGCTCATGACTGCACCAAATGTGAATGAGATACCATATGAGGAATTCCGAGGGTAATCCGAATTCTGAGCGTAGTTGAATATTCCTGACGTTGGTGAAAATTTTGCAAAATAGCATTGCAGATATCCATTGATATGCTTCAGGTGTTGGCTGGTTTTTTGTTGTTGAATTTTTAACCCTTTTTTAGCACATTCTACCCTGCATGATGAAAGTGAATAACTTACGATTATACAGCCGGATTTTTCTGTTGATTATTCTACACTGCTGTGCTAAAAATTTGTCATGAGATTTAAGAATTGGAAATTATTTATAATTGAATTTTGATGAACTCAAGATGCTGATATGGTCAAAATATATTCAAGACTATTTTATTGTTTTTCCTCTATTTTTCTCTGTAAAGATATTTCTGTTTAATATTTTTCACGTTCCCAGAGACTTCGTGCGAAAACGGTTCACCTGCTGTATTTTTCAAAGAGCTTCATTTACAAACATTCCATTTTTTTAATATATGCCGTGTACCGAAATTTTGGTCGAAAATTCCATTTATAAGATTACGAACTCGCGTTTTCTTATTTCTTGAGGTGATTGCTCACGCAGACGATCCATGAAATCTTGAAAATTCTTGACTATGACATAAGTGCACTGTCTCATCATCAGCATCATTAGGGAAGAATTGAAATTTTAAAAAGTTACTGAAATAGAGTTCTGATATTTCATCTTCCAAAAAGGCGCATTTTATGGAATTTGGATTAAATTGGTGGGCAATTTCGTGCTGTACGCGTATACGTACTGCACTTACAATCTGGATAAATACACATTTTCCGGCACAGTGCGTCAGTTGATAGCGCAGTTGCTCAGCTCTGCGCTCAGTCACTATATAAGCAACCATAAATGCTGTAATTGTTAATGTCGTACAAAGAGGATAATACGATGGAAAATGTTGAAGAAGATATGGAATACGGTTCATAAAGGGAAATTTTCGTATTGTATTCCGCTTTTATTGCAAAGCATTTATAGTTAACCAATTTCGGTCCTGCTGGTTACCGTATTATACGCATCAATTTTCCCAGAACCTAAATTTTCAATGTAGGATGCGCCTCGCGGTTGGCGTGTCTGTGTTCCACAGGCGGGCTTGTAGATGTCGCCAGTTAATTTGTGAAAAAAATCCGTGGGATGCATCGATGCACTAATTCCGAATTCCCCCCCCCCCCCCTTATACTTGGTACAATCTTCTGAATCACTGAATCATTTGTTTTGACATATATTTATATTCATTAGAATGTTATGTATTTGTTATGCTTCTGTGAACCTCCACGACGATTTTTAATTGTCCAGATGTTGACTTTTATTTAAGGTGATGTTACTATACAGTATATCTTCACGCAAACTCAAGGTACAATGATACCATCATATTCACTCATGTACAGTGCGAGCACCTTTGTTCTCTCAAATTAGAGAGGAAAAAAGGATGCACATCTTAGACATCAGGTATTTTTTTTTTCAACAAGTTTTAGAAGTTCAAGTGTACATTATATATATTTATATTTGAGTCTCACGGAAAATTTTGAAAAAATGTTATTTAAAAATCGTAATTCTATGAAAACAATTGAAAATTAGTTGAATTCAGGCGGTAAAATTCAAATGCGGGCTTTTTTGTTTTTGAAGTTGCATTTTTAGAGAGACTGACGTAAAATGGGATGCGCATATACGTACAGTATGTTGCTTTGGGATACCATTCAATCAAAAATTATACTGAAATACCTGACTGAAGTGTGCGCGATGCCGCTCACGTGAACTGCACATTCAAGAAATGGTTTCTACTTTCAATGTGGAAAAATGAAGGTTGGTTATCTTGAGTGTGGTGTCACTCCGTCTTCTTCGTTGCTGGGTCGATTTTTTGCATGCAGTATCTGTATACTGAACTACAATTATTCGCTGTGTGTATATGTAGGGACCGTTTGCGCACGTCGATCAACGTGCTCGGCGATGCCTACGGCGCGGCCATCGTGTTCCACCTCTCGAAGGAAGAGCTGGACAAGATGGACCAAGAGCGAGCAGTGCAAGACCAAATCGAAATGGACCAGATCGTGTCATCGGGGGCCAATAGCCGACGCGTGAGTCGCGTCAGCATCCAACACCTGGCGTCCACGATGCGAAACAACCCGCACCTCCGGATCCCGTCACCCCCGTCTTACAACCCACCGGAACCGGGCAACGGTGGCATGAACTTCCTCAGTGGAAGAGGCATGCCCAATTCGGAAACGCAGATTTGATGGAACAACAATTATTGCTCGTCATCATCATCGGAGAATTGATGAGTTCCAGGAGTCGCTTTTTTGCTTGCATAGCTGGCGCGCCTAAGCAGCTCCCTCTACATTTGAGTTCGGGAAACACAACGCAGATCTGCATGATGACGCGTTACGTTTTCTTCGCTGATAGGGTTATTCGCAGCCGTGCGACAAATTAACCGGGAATTCGATTGCTATAATTGATTTCAATGAAGATTTTCTTCGGAAGAGAATCATCGATAAATCGACGAATATTTTGAAATTAACCCTTTGTAATCGGAAAATCGGATCCCATTATTCTGACGCCACGAGGCAATTCCTGCTGCTGTGGACCGGTATCACAGAACTTACCAGGAATTATGCATCATTCTTGCGCATTAGCTTTGAAAATTGTAGATCCTCTATTTTTATTTTAGGAAACTCTTGAATATTTTGGTTTCTATATACTGCAGAATTCGATTTCATATAGATCTTTTTTAATTTTACATAAATTTTTTGAATTGGCTGCTGTTCTTGAAATCTTTGGTTTCATATTTTGCAGAAACACGCAAAATGTTGGGAAGATAGTTGAAGTTGATTAACGTTATTAAACCACTTTAGCTCGATTGGCTTCGTACGTGAATGAAGTCAATTCCATTTAAATCTGCTGTCGACTTGAAGATTGTAAAATATTCTACTGAAAGGAAATCAGCAATTGAAGTTTATTATTGCTCAAATTTCGTGAGGGGAAAATGAGATATTTGATGACCGAATTTCGCTTTAAAAATTGGAAAATATATGCTTTCACGTGACCTGCCCTATAAAGAAGTACAGCACAGTAATGGGCATAACACGAAATAATATTTAGGTTTCCATTTAAAGCTTTAGTTTTTATTCCACTTTTACTGCAGTTATTTATTAAATTGCAACCATGATTATACAACTGCTGTCGCTTCTTTTCGGAATTTTTTTTTTAGAAAAGGAAAAGGGTTGTCGTTGTTTATCATGTTCGAAACATTTCGGATGGAAAACGCGGGTATAGAAAAAATACCCCGTTTTTCCTGTACTTGAAAGTGAGCATATTAGAAACGTACGTATCAAAGTGAGCGGAGAAACGAAAAGTGAGCATTCGAAAAAACGAGAATCGTAACGAAGCATTTCGTATGTAAATATCAAATTTTGCAGGGAAACTTGTGCGTCATTTTTTTCGTCAAAAATTCCTGCAAACGGTTTTTTTCTGTAAATATTTGATGGGATTCATACTATCTCGACCAGCATTTTATATCACGGTGTTTGATAGAAAGAAACCACAAAACGAAGGAACAAATGTGACATGAGAAGAACGCATCAGTGAGAACTCGTGTGTTTTTGGGGTGCGGAAGCTGTGCAGAAATTCTTCTGGTCTTTTCGTCGTTTGTTTCGTGTTCCTTTTTTTTCTTATTCTGCGAATGTTGCTGTGCTGAGAGAACAACTGATAGTGAGACCAAGAATTGGAAAACGAACGAAAGTGAGAAACAAGACTTTTCCAGAGGTGTGTTTAACCAAAAAATTTGTTCAGCGTTTACCGCGGAGCTTTTCGCCGCAAATTGACTCCCGGGCGCTGTTGTGGTTGTGTATATATAATAGGGCCGGGATGTTTTTCGTTCGGGATTTCCCACGATCAGAAAATCATTTTAGCAATTTTTCTTTCAGTTTTTATTTTCACGAAAAATTTGCTCACTGCGATTGGTAGACCTTATAGAGAAATGAAGCCGAAGTCTCAGTCGAAGCTTTGCGCTGCTGAAGGAGTTCAGAGTGAAAATATCGTTTGCTTCAAGGAAGGCGCCGACTTCGGAAAATGAGACTTGACCATTTTCAAGATTCTTCGCAGTCTTTTCGCAAATATATGCATGGAAATCTTCGCCTTCTCCAGTTTCTAAATTACGCCTTCGTCAAAAATGTTATCTTTCCAATTTTTTCAAGTATTCCTTTCCTTGGAAAAACGAAGCTTTTGAATCAATTGTGCGTTTCTTATATCCGCATTAGAAAAAGCATAGCTTCGACTGTTCGGAAAACACAATGAAGTGAACAATTGATTCGTCCGAAATACTAAATAGTTCAAGGAGAAGTTTTAGTACAAAGTAGAAGAAATGACCATAGCTTAGATATGTGATTATTTTGCATATAGTTCGTACAATTTCTTAACGTCTTAATTGGGTTCGCGTTGTCTCGCGGGTCATTTCGTCAGTTTTGATGTAACCACTTTTCAGGAAAATTCCGTATGCATACTTAGAATATTCTTTGTAATTTTCCTGGAAATGCGAATATGGTATTGAACACTTTTTCAACGGAAGAAAAATGTTAGATAGGAATCAGAAAGTGTAACTATGCACCGTAGATCTTAGGAGCGGCGAAGATGCCGTTGAGGCGCCCGCGCGAGCACTTGTACGCAGAGCTTTGTTGTGATATCGTTCGCTAATTTCTCCTGGACTGGGGTTAACGCGAGAAGAAAACGAGCTCTCAAAGAGAAGCTACCCAGGTTCCGGGACAAACGAAAATTGTATTGAGTGCATGGGGATTTGTTTTTGAAGCCATGTCCAGCAAGAAAGCTTGATTCTTTTTACATAGATGTTTTTTATCACACCTATATATACAGTACATCTTTTTGCGCGCGTGGAGTGAACGTCACCACGGTCTGTTCCGTTTCATTCTTGGCATTTTCGGCTCAACTCTGCGCCTTTATTCGGTGTTTGATTATCCTATGACATATCTCGATGACTCACGCGAGATGTGCAGGACTATGAAACTTGTGTCTCCCGATGATGCCCGAATTATGTCGTCACCTCGAGAACGTTGAGCGTAGTTATATTATTAATAACTAGATGTCGCGAGTTGTATGGAGGTCGTGCCAATTCCCAATTAAAACGTGGAAGAAAAATCTCGAGAATATCGTCCAATACGAACGAAATGGGCCCTATCGATACTATAATGATGTGCGGTGTCCGGTGTGCCTCAAGCGGTGGCACAAATTGTTTCGTATCTTGAATTGTAATTTTCATTGGAACAAGTGAATTGGGAAAATAATATGCGGGCGGTCAACCTCGCGAATGGGATTTTTCCGCAGTACAGTAATGCAAAGAAACAGTCGAGAGGGGCATGAAAAAACGACTGCATGATGAAAGGCAGAAATTTATTATTCACCCGAGAATTTCCTGAACAGTATCACCGTCAATCCGGAAGTCAAATTAAGTGTCCATACTAGTTTTGGTGGAATAAGGCATGATGGTTTCAGCCGGCGTCATCATCATGAGGGATGTACAGCAAACTGTAGTTCAAACGGTAATATTGACGACGGACGAAGTATGGTCCGAAGACTTTGGTAAAATAGACTGTACGTGTGCTGCTGTTTCCTTACTTCCAAAAATACATTACTGTACTTTATTTCAATCTTCCCATGGGGCACTCCCAATTAAAATTAAGATTTCATTTCCTTCGCCGCTTATAGGGAGACTTCGGAGAAAATCGATACCCTGGAGGAGAGACTCGTCGTTCGTGAATGTGATGCAGTTCTGCGCACTCGCTTATACGTATATATAGGCAACGTGTATTAATGATGAAAAAAACGATTTCCTCGAGTTTCATCTCAAGTCAAGTTTTTCGCACTCCGCATATTTCTTTTTCATCTGAATTCTTTTTTCTTTATGTCTTGGATGATGCATTCGGCTATACCGATAATGTGTGTTGTATGTTCAATCGTATTCCGTTCGAATAATGTATGAGAGGCGGCACAATTGACGAGCTTTCTGCGGCGATCCTGTTCTGTGAGTTTTCTTGTGTCCTTCTATTCCGTTTCGCGTCCGTCGAATTCTGGTTGTTGGTTTTCTCTGTTTGAGTAGAAAAATCTCTCCTCAAAATTTCAGTCGTTGAGTGCTAGAGGTATATCAGAGGAAAACACCCAGCAGGTGTTCATTCCGAGCGATTATGCTTGAATTGTTTCTTCTCAAGAGAACGAATAGACGAAATGGTCTTTGCAGAGAAACTTTGTTTGGGTTGGACATCAGCCAGAAAGAGCAGGATTTTATTGCCCCGAGTCGTTTTACTTCGTCGTGTCTGGTTCGGAAAAGAAGAACTCTTAATTGCGGGTCGTACCCTGGGAGAAGTCGATGACTTCTCACGGTTTACACGCGCCACCGCTTTCAAACTGACATGTGTTGTTCCTTTTCCCCGTTGGTATTATTTTCTGCTGGTTTTCCTCATCCTTTGGGTGTAATTTAATCCGGACTGTGCCGCCTTCGTGACGCATGAGAAAATTGTGAGCGGCTGTAACTTCGAAAAACCCGGATTTGTATTCGCACACGCATTCTATTACACCACAGCTTCGGAAGAGGGGTGAACTTCTTGCCCTGCTCTTTTTTTTTCAGTCACAGAGGAATATCCAAGCGCCTTCGCTTTACTATATTAAAAATGAACGGAGGGAGACGCGGAAGAATCCGGATGCGGTTGCGGGAATGTCCGGTGCTCGAAGGTTTTTCTCTATTGTATGCGTCTTTTCTTTTTGTGGAATGGCCTTTGCAAGTGCGATTTTTTCTCTCGTCACGTTGGTTACCAGCATTGCAATCTTTGATGTCCGAAGAATTGACGAAGTTTATCTCGCTGTCATGCACTTGTATCATCGGCGATGATGAGGGGGAACGACCGACACTTTTTTTATCCTTATTAGTTCACATCCTGCACATACATTTATAGCCCAGCAATAACAGATTACTGTATTCAATAAAGGACTCCTTCCTTCAATTTTCTAAGAATCATTGTGATAAATACTTGAATTCCAGAGATAGATCAAAGATGTATCTTCTGGAATGCCTGCACTCGGTTGGTCGATCCAAATTTTTGGGAAGAATAATTAATCGAGATTCCGGAATTTCCTTCAGCATCATATGGGTTCTAGCATATTATTTATTATTCGCCGCTTTATTTGGATCATATTTATATGATCGTAGGATTATTTACACAGAACTGATATTTTTTGTTTATTAGTGGTTGGTTAAACTTTTCTGACGTGACTGCACTCGAAATATAACTTAACTTTCTCTTAGACGTAAAAAAGAACGAACTTCACGTGACACATGAAATGGAAAAATCCCAGTACCGACAGGCGGGTTGAAATGTTTATTGAACCCTGGATTTTCAAGGTTTGTTGAAGTATAGTCGCCTGACGACTATCTTCTGAAAGGAAGGAATCCATAAATTGCGTTTCAAACTGCCAAGCTGAATTATTTTAAATTATGTTTACCTCTGGCAACAGATGCAAGTACTGCACAGTGTAACCAAATGATGAAGATATTATTGATCGCAAGTTGTAATAATGTGTCACAGAAGTTTTAAAATGGGAGGAAACGCTCAGGAGTACAGATCCGTTTCAGTGAGGATATACGTATACGGGTTATTACGAAGGTTTCGGTTGTTCCCCTTCAGCCAATAATGTACAAGGATTCATATCGGAGGCGTTCATTTCGATCGGAAGCGATGTCTCATCCGCACGACATCGCCAGTTGTCATCGACGAACAAACCGCTTATCAGGTCGCATCGGAGACAAATATATCAGACTCGTTCCTTTCTTTTTTTTATGCAAGATCCTAGGATAAGTTGATAGCAATATTGGATACGAGGGTTTTGTGAGTCTAAACGAGTCGGTTCCGCTTCATATCGATAGCATATCCGTCATCGTCGGTCGGTTCGCGGCGAGTTTCGTTCTTTATCTCTCGATCGTATGGGTGTGTTCTCAGGCCATCAGCATCATGGTCAAACGAGGAACGAAGAAAAACAAAATGTTTTCGACGTCGTTGATGTTCATGTGTCTGTTTTTTCCTCGAATAAAGCTGGATCCAAGCATTGGGATGTTTTTTGCACATGCATCGGGACTCTTTCATTCCGTAACTTAATTTTTCATCACCGTTTTCTTGTTGCTGTGTAAAATGGAACGTTTCAGAATCATCCGTAGTCGACGGATTTTAGTCAAAGGCTGAAGAAATCCACTCCTAGAACATCAATCCTATGCATAAGATTAAATTATAGATGAGCCTATATGCGTAATTAAGTAGCTTCCCAACAGAACAGGCGAAATGGTGTAAATCTCTGCACAAATTACGTCAATCCCGGATGACCTCGCTTTCTTCTTCCATCGGCGATTTTATCATGGCACTGTAGTTAGGCTATAAACTTGCGCTTTAGCTTCAGCGTGCTCTCAAATCGGGAGAAAAATTACACAGTGCAGTAGTTCAGTGACCAACTCCGTCAAGCCACTTCGATTGGTATTGATTCGATGTTCCTGAAAATGCGGATGGCTCCCTCACATGTAGGTAAATCGAGCACCTTTCAGAACTGCCTCAGTTTGATCATCAGTGACTCACTGCCCAGTCATTAGATGTGTATAGTACAGTACAGTATTTCTAAAATACACGAACTGTATAACGGCAACTGCGTCACTCTCAGGTCGCGCACAGATGTCGCAGCAGACGTCACCTCGATTGTCAACGCGCTGGTTTTGAATGAATTGCTACTCCCACAATTTATTGATTGAAAATTTTTTCCCGGAAAACTAGACATGCATTTCGAACCTCTCCATAAAGGGCTTTCTTTGGGTCAACGTTGCTTTCTTATTTTATCAACAGGCGTTTCCTCGCGTTCAGTGCTCAGAATGAGGGCTTCTGGGATATTCATCGTCATACATTCGGCTGTTATTCTGACTTCGGTATTAATATTTTAAACGGCATCCCTATGACGCTCTCCTGAGAAATACTGTATACACAATGATTAATTTTAGGTTTCTTATAAATTTCATTATACACTATACGTGCGCAGCTGTAGTATTGTATATACTGTACTATATATGCACATGACATTGTCCAATTAGCGTACTGCTTCGCTGGTCTCGGAAATCTGCTGGATGATGTTCAAGGTTGACATCTTCATGATATTGGCGTATGAGTCACCTTTGAATGAGAACAGTATTTGCACAGTACAGTACTTTACAGCTAGATAATAAGTTCACGCCTACATCGCTTCAGATCTCTCACGAAGCCAGGCGTCAGCTTTCATACTCCTATTTCTGAAACATTTTTTAATTCACCACGGACAGACAACCGCCTTGTGCAGATTCAGCAATAAATCTGGTAGAGATCTAAACATACGATTAAGAATTTACTGAAGCATGCAAAATCTTATTCATGGAGAAGTAAGCAGTCGATGGATCAACCGTATCAGGCAAGGGTAAGTTGAAAACTGTATTAGTAAATAAATTTTCCTTCAGACAACTGGAATTTAGCCAGGAGATCCATATCGAATTGCGGACAGCTAGCTTTTCGAGTGAGTTCGTTTCATCACCACTCTTCACCATCAAATTACACTTTTAGTCAGTATACTTTTAATTTAAATTTCCGATCACATTTACTGATTCATATTTTATTTACTAGGCGAATGAACGCGTACAAGGGGGTTGTTTCATTTGGACGCAGCCCCTGATACAGCTAGAGTAGGTGAGATTGTAGAAAAAATGCGACATAGCCCATTATGTTCAAATTCTGGAATTCTTCTGGATCTTCCAAAAAGTTTTTCAATTTACTGCATGATGACAAGCGGAAACTTTCCAGTTAAAGCACGAGTTCTCCACCCACGTCAAAGGGGGCTAAAAATTGTTAGGCTAGCTAAAATACTGGAAGTTTTTGCAGTTCTGACCATGATCAAAAATGTAGAAAAGATAATTGGGTAACACAACAAAAATTTAATTTTTTGCTAACAATGAATTTTTGTTTTGTCATGGGCTATGATGCTATGTCATGTCTTTTTTTTTTATCACACCTACTCTAAAAATATCGGAGGCTGCGTCCAACTGGGATAATCCGAGCTTAATTTATGATTTCTTTTGGAACAGAATTATTCTGATTCACCCGAGGATTACTCAATTATGTACCAGAATTCTCACTGGATGACGCAGAGCAGGAAATGGAGCTTGACAATATCCAGACGCTGCACTGCTTCTCCGACGCAGCGCTAACACGCGTCATCACAAGCTTACAGGAAGTGACGACACGTTTTCCAAAAAACCGGGTTTGCTTCTCTGAAATGATAAAAAATGAATGCCTCTCCAAGCCCAGCACACTCAAGAGACAGTGACCTTTTACTCCGTAAATCGTACACTACAGACAATAATTAAAATTAATTACTCTCAATCGGAGTACAAAAAATCAAACGCCGGAAGGCCGATGTAAAGAAATGGACCCGCGAAGTTTCCCCGCGTGATAGCTGCTTGACGAAATGAATCGATTTGTCTTTACAAACAAAACAAATAACAGGAAATCACCCTTAGGAACAAAAGCCGCTCATTAACCTGTCCAGAGAGCTCCAAGAATCTCTTTGCAAGACCCAAAAACGATTCACAATACCCAAGCCAACCAGTGCGGCGAATGACATAACTACCATCTCGGCTCGTTCTGGAGAACGCCAACAACCTCCGAATTCACGTATAATCCGCGCACCGAGTATATACGTATCAAATACCACCGTTTCCTCTCGCCAAAAAAAAAACAACAAAAACATGAGCCGAAGTTTCATGCGAGGAGAAAAACCGACATCAGCGAGCTGGCAGGCAAGAGGAGTCTAGGGATTGACATCCAGTCAACACAAGTCAGCACCAATTCCAACCCGGATTTCCCGTTCACATAACACGAAAAAATTCAGCATGAGAAATCCCTTATTTACGCAGATATAAGACATTATCTAATCCAAGCTGAAAGTTAAATTGTCTCATCACTATGTAACGGGAAAATATGATTCTGGCGATAAAAAGGTGCATTCAGCATTTGACTCGCAAATAGCCGCGAACTGTCGCATTTGGTACACCAATGATGTGAAGATATTTTACGGTACTGTACTCACAAACGAGATGAAGACAACTTTGCGAAGAATTCCTGCAATAACTCGAATTTTTCTTTCCAGTGAAAATAACCTTGCAAGCAAGATCATGACAGCCATGTCACTTGGAAGAAAACAAATATAAGAAAACAATTTCCAGATGCTCTCTCAGTCTGGCACTTCAGTCAGTTTATCGCATCAAGTTTAGACTTCCGAACATACTTGAAACTTGAACGGCACTTAGCGGCAAATGTATACTGTGTGAATTGATGAGGTTAACCCTTTCAATGCATGCATTATTTCAGACCGTTCCACGAACAGCATTCTTCGCGCGAAAAAATGAGTCTTATATTCGCGTAAATATGGTACACCATTTTCACGATAGAAACTGAGAATCTCCGAATTAGTGACAGATCCTTCATCATTCTACATCGAAACACAGTATCAACAGTCCACTGATTCACATTAGCGAAGAATTTGCTCGTAACTGTCCAATCCGACACTCGCACCTGAAATGTTTTCTGTATCATTACTCAATGGAAGATTGTACCCTGTTCTAATATGCTGCTCAACTCATCAACGCAAGATTTCTGATAAAATACATCAGCTGAACTCACCAGAGGTAAATCTAGGAATTAACAAATGGTGAGCGATTCCAACATCACAGAAGCAACAAAATTCTTGCTTTCAACAATGCTACTCCTGCTATCACGAGAAGATACTTGGAAAACAACCCACCTCCTCCCGGCTATCGAAACTTCCTTAGCGTTAGAAAACTGGGGACATGCTAAAAACTACTGCACTCTAAACGGGCCGCATCACTGAAAATATACTCATGCTGTACACAGAGTTTTCTGGTGGCGATGCGCACGGTGGGGCGTCCCGAGGGATGCTTTTCTCTCTCTTCAATTAGCGATAAAAATTGCACTCGGTTAACTTGAAAGCCGGTCATTTCGCGGAGGGGGGGGGGGGGGGGGGGGGGGGGGNGGGTGGGGGGGGGGGGGGGGGGGGGGCGGCAGTAATACTCCCGACGCTTTTCACCACCCACGCCGCTGAAAGACGAGGATGTCATCTTTTGTTTCTCAAAAAAAAAATCCAAAACGTGTCAACAAAACAAAAACAATTACTCTAAACTGGGAACATCGTGAATGAGCAATACGGTTTTCCCAACAGGTCACATACTGCAACACAGTCAGCCACACTCGCAAAAAAAAAAGGCAAACAAACAACACCCTGCGGAATGTTCGTGTAGCAACACGACATTTCTACACGTATAATAAATAAATGTTCAGAATGAACGCGAAGTTTTTTTTTCGCACTAGGAGGAAGAATCCTGACGCGAAATCGAAGGAATCACCGTGTAAAGCAAACTGCACTGAGGGCGAAACCATAGGATACTGACCGAGTTCATGAGAACCGTTTCGACATTTGGCAAGATCGAGAGCACTCGCCGTCAAAATCAGAACGACAGATGATTGATATTGAGGCAAAGTTCATCTTAACCTTGCGCTTTGGCACACACCTCAAATACGACTACCACTCTAAAGGAGTCAAACCAATAGATCCGAGTTTTCTGTTGAAATTAGCGACCTGAAATCTTCAGCAAAATATTCAGTCCAGGATATTCCTTTGAAATTGAAAGACGTGAAAAGGGACGACTGGCAATCTCGAAGCAATGAAAAAGCGGTTCACACAAACTGATTAGATTGTTTTTTCAAAGCCTGACGCTGCTTTCGACAGGTTTTCACACAGTCGCTTCACACAAAAAAGTATCTATGACGAACGCTCTGAAGCCGCTCTGACGATTGAAATCTACAAATTTTACGACACACAACGCGTTTTTTGGGAATAGATAACATGCATATTCCCCCACGGAGCTACGAAGCGCTGAAAAAAGATTTGCCAGATCTGAAGTATTTTGCATATAAAAAAATTTCTGTTCTCGAGTTTCCCAGCAATAATGGCTCTCCGCTCATCAGCAGTTTCAAATTATCAAACTTCTTGGCCGTTTGCAAAAAGAGTTCAACGTCAAAATGAACGTATAAACGCTGCGAAGTGCCCCCGACCTTCAGGTATTTCAAGATGAAACAGCTTCCACATAATTCGCTGGGTAGAGGCCAACACGGCCGTCCTTCCTTCCTTTGCACCATCCTTGCTCATCTTCATCTTCCAACTTTTCGAACACATCACCTTCAAAATCAAATCGAATCCATCAGGAACGCATCCACGGAAAGAAACCATTAAATCTAATCTTCGAAAAACTGATTCTCTTCAGTTTTCCCTTCTCCGCCCTACGTCCCAGACTCCGATTTTCTGATTCCCTCACGGTATCGCCTAATTTTTTTCAATTCCGTAGTTTGGTTGAATAACGTGGGAAGAGTTTTCTTCGAAGTTGCCTTGGCTTAGATTGATTAATTCATGGTCGGTAACATTATTTTTCATTATCTACGGGATTCAGGAGACACCTGCTCGACATCTTCAGAAGCACGGTCGGCCGTTGAAATGAGCAGCACATTAGTTACATTCCAAAAAAGAAGTAAAAAAATCGATGGGCTATTCAATAATTAGTAAAGAATTCGTGACGTATTTTCAACAGTTCCATCACTCGCAATTTTTGCTAATCTACTGCACTTGGATTCAGTTCAGCAGCCTAAATTAGTCGATTACCGTCGCGAATTTCTCACGCAAAGACAAATCGGATTTTTCCACTACACAACAAGAACGTCCTCTTGGTGTAATGCATTCCACAAATGTTGCGTGAATTGAGATTCTCTGAAGTCTAAACGCTGTGAAACACTAATGCGGATCAAAATACAATTAATGGAATTTCAATTCAATCAATTCCGAAATTAATTTTAATCAAGAGTATGGGAAGTCGGATATTGAGAAAAAAGAACCGAAACGAGTAGAGGACACTTTTCCTAGGAATTTCGAACCTGTTTTGAAGCTTAGCTCATCCGCTTCAACTCCATCGTAGTCATACAGGGCCCTCACGGGCACCCCAACTTCCCCGTTGTCAACCAAGGCATCATTGGAATAATCCTCCCACTCCTCCTCTTCAAACGGGTTCGCGTCTTTATTGTTTGCTGTCGTACCATTCCTGAATAAAATTATTTGCGTGAACTCGTTGTAAGAAAGACAAAACGTTCAGAGGGCTTAGGCGGAATAATGCGTGGAAAACGTCTCACGTGGAAGGCTGGGCGTGGCTTTTTGTCATCGACTGCACATTGTTCCCTTTGTCGGATGAGGAGGGAGACGGATTGGAAGACGAAGGATGTTGGGTCTCTTGCTTCGAGCTGATTTCCTTCCCACTTCCTTTGCCAGGTTTCTTGAACTTGTAGGAGGGTCTCTGGCCATCTGCTGTATATTCCTGTTGCAAGGATGAAGAATTGTCTTTCATAGAATGGAAAGACGAAGATTTTAAATATTCAACAGGCGCAGGTTTCCCAAGAAGTTCCAAAATGTTGCTTCCACAACGGAAAGGAGACTGATCTTTTACAGTCAAACCCAACTTCAACGGACCAGCAAAAAATTTAAGTTAAGGAGGTTTTGAGACAGGGAAAACAAATTTTTTTCGTGGGGAAATGGGAAGAATTGCAGAAAATTTCAACTGGTGCTATTCTGGTCCTTAAATTGCTCCTTGAATGCATTCGCAGGATGCCGCAGTTGGAAGCAATGAATCATTTACGCAAGTAGTCCTTCACTTCTTTTAAAAATGTCAAGTTACTTTTTTGCGGTTCTGTTCACTTCTTCAAAAATTGCAAAAAGGCCACAATAAAAATCGAGTTATGGAAGTTAGAAGGGAAAGTCTTTGAGTTAAGGAGATTTTTAATGCGTGTTTTGAAGGGAATGCAGAGGGGACCTGACAAAAAATTCGTAATAGGGAGGTATTCGACTTGGAGAGGTTCGAGTTATCTACATTCAACTGTGCTTCGAAAACCAGCTCAAATTCTATCTTTCAGTGACCGGAAGTCGAAAAAATAAGTGAAGAATCTCCAGAATTCATTTTTCCAGAGCTTATCTTTTCAGCTGAATGGATGAGTCAAACCGCAACGCGGATTTTAAAAGTTTTCCACACTGCACCATCAGGCATCCAGAAAAACATGTGTCTATATATCGGGTGAATTCAACTTTTGAAACTTGCGAGAAAACCTTGAAAGCGAGTATAAATCAAGAGAGCCAGCAGCCCGCCACCGATCTATCTACAATTCTAATAAAATTAACTAACATCCAACACTAGCACGTTCACCATGCAAAACGTCCCACTGAACAAATCAAAAGAAAAAGCCCGGATGCACCCCAGAAAATTTCCTTTCCGCCCGCACAGCGCGAACGCCCAATGGATTAAAATCTACAGCAGAGAGACGGATTCCGTACCAATTCAGGACTTTTTCTTCCGCGGAAAGAGCTGCGTATGGAAGTTCTCAACCACGCGCTGGCTCGCAGACGCAGCGACACTGGAATATTTTTTCTCGACGCATCCTGTGCAAAATTATTTAAGAGAATCGCGTGGCGCACCCATGTAACAAACGAAAGCACACTGGGACATGTTCCCGACATTATTTCCGGTACTCATTTTTCACTCAGACAAGGGCTGTCCTTTTCTTTTAACGATAAATTCGCATCCGGCTGTACATATACTGTACAGTACATAAAATGAGTCGGATCACACTTATGACTTCAACGCAGATTTATGGGTACCTACAGTACTTGAAACAAGACGAATCCGTGAATAAACAAGGGAAGAAACTGGGCTTGTTAAGAGGCCCTTCCTAACGAATAACTGACCTAGCTTTTCACAGAGAAACCTTGCTGCTATACAATATACCGTACATGAAGCCGTCACCGAACAGTTGAAATGAAGTACTGTACTGGGACATGAAAAACCCTTTCGCGGAAAGATTGATTTTTCCAAAGGTTACCTAAGGCGTCGCAAATTTGGACAAAACACACAGTAAGATGCGTAGATGTCCATCAATTTCAGCCTCCCGTATTAGCGACCATTGACCTTATTCGTTGATTCGGGAAGAAATTTATTGTAATATCAGACGTTCGAAATGTATTGGCTAAGCTCAAGTAATGCAAAACGTCTCATTCATCTGGAGAATAATGTTAAGAATATACTCCACTGTATATGCATACTAACTTCTAGTCCTAGACCCAACATCATTTATTCGCGTGAAAGAAAACACTGAAGCTTCAAAAGAGACAAGAAGGGGAAACATTCAATCGATAAGCATATCAGATAAAAATTTCAGCAACAGATGAACAAGGGATGCAAACAATTTCCCAACGGGAAAAGTTTTCAATTGAAGTTATATGACATTTCCTCCTGCAGAAAATACAGTACAGAATTTTTTTTACCACAGATCTCAGGAAATGTCCGAGTGTATGAGGGTCTTCAGCACTCCATGCTAGCATAACATAAAATGTATTCCTATAAATTAACTTTTTGGACAGCCCACAAAAACAAATTTCGTCAGGCTTTAGAGAACCGGTGTGCTTTGCGAAATTAAACTTCATCCTTGTTCGAGAAGTTCAAACAATACAAGCCCTTCAGATTTTGTCGAACGATTTCGAAACTTATTGAATACGTGCCAATACTTGCTGAAGATGCATTCACACGGACTAGTACAGTACTTCAAGGCAATTCGTAGCATTTCAAATGTTTTTTGGTGAAACTGAAGTGCAACAGGAGAGCATAAACATACTTCAGAGATGCAAGGGAAGTCAATTGACGAAAAACAACCAGAAAGACACACAAAGAAGATTGTGATCCCGAACAGAGGGCTAAGGGATATACAAATGATTTTACAGGAAGAAAAACGAGAGCGAAGAAAAGCTCGAAGACGAAAATACTGAAAAATATGCGCTAATATTTACTGGTAGATCTTCTCCAACTGATCTCTGATGCAGAAGAGTGATATTAGCGTCCGGAATATGTCCCCCAGTCTTGGGATTCTTCTTCGCAATTTCACGGAACTCTTCTGAATATTCCTGAACACAAAAAAACAGAACCAAAAATGCAACAAAAAAGGAAATAAACACTCAAGCAAACATGACATGCGTTTTTCGTAAAAATTCATTCGAAAAGAGCATCTTATTCCAGCTATTGTAAACTTCATGCAAACAAGCATTATCACCCAAATCAAGTAGCAAAATACAACATTCGACAGGAGCAAATTCGCGCACGATCAACGTTAGTGATACAATAACAACAAAAATAAACTTCGCACTAACCTCGAATTGCGGCCAATTCATAGCCATGTTAACGCCGTGATTGTTCGACCACCAACGTAAATCTTTGACATTATCAGCATTGTTGATCGTATGATGCAACTCCTCATAAATCTGAGGCAACCTATAATTTGACGAACATTAGGGAAATGAGAACTCCCATGTAATGCCAGAAGATTTTAAAATGTGGCCATGAAAATATTTACTGAGGATTCGTCGATATGTTGAGACTCTCATGGGCCAAGAACAAAATGTCCTTGATAAACATCAGTCGATCGGCTTCGGATTCTTGGCACTTCTCGAACACTTTGGTCATGTTCTCCACATAAATGGGGTTATAATCGTTTATTTCTTTCAAGGCAAATTCATAGCGCTCCTTCGTTTTTTGGACTTCCTCTTTTGCCTTGTCCACACGGTCTTTCAACTTCCGCAACTAAAAATTGCAGAGTCGCAAGAGTCATCTTCGAACATCAGACGAACATTTCGCTGTGACAACTTACAGCATCCGGTGAAAGCGAAGTATCAGCCCCAGAATTTCTGTCCTGATTTATCGCAGTTTTTTCATTTTTGCACGCCGTGTGATAGTCCGCTCGAGCTTTGTTTACTTTGTCAAGCAATTTTGCCCACGGTTTTTGTTCCTTCTTGAATTTATCGTCCATGTCCTTTTTCTCTTTGATTTGCATCATAGACTGAAAAGTCAAAATTACTCAGCCAGGATTTTCTCGAGGAAGCGCGTTGAAAATTGAAAGAACAACAACGTACCGCGAGAATTCCCTGAGCCTGATTTGCAGCATTGAAGAGTTCAAGAAGTGTGATTGACATTACTCATAGAAAACTATTCGAATAAAGGCTCACCTTGTGGTAGTTTTCTTTCTGCCAATCACGAATCTTCGGGCTAACTTCATTGACCAACTTGTCACGAACAGCGACATGAACTTCCGAAAGACGTTCCGCCTCCATCAAGGTTCCTTTCCATGCTGCCTCCATGGTCCCATATTCCGGCCCTGATCGTACAATTCGATGTGTTTACATCACCGAAAAATTCCAGTACGGCCTCAAAAGAAACAAACCTTTTTCTATAATTTCATTCCACTTCTTCGACCATCCCTTCAAACTCTTCGCATAACTTTTTTCAATTTCGGCTCTTTCTTGCAAAAGTGTGACCAATTCGTTACACAACTTGTTGCCATCTTCAATTCTTTTAGTTGTTCGCTTGTAGTTTCCTGGTTCCCAGAAGGATTCGGTCGTTGGGGTCAACAAAGCGTCATCGCTGTGTTGGGACATGGCCTCAATTGACCCTACCCGATCGTCCCTACCAGACAACACACCCAGCTTGATTTTCCTTATCAGACAGTATGGCCAATAATATTACAGATCAAGAGGAGGTCACTGGTCATCGACCAAGACCACATTCCGCGATTGAGCTGCGCCACATAATTCAATGATCATAGGCAATCACGTCTGTCTCAAAAAGACGGTATTACAAAAAATTAGGCACTTGTACTATATCACATCAATCTGACGTTCAACCCTCAGATTATCCGATTTAAAACACGCAAGAAGGAAAGACGATTTCCGCACGCTTCACTTCATTAAATATCCGACGACATTCCGATCGTCCACTCGAGGTCAAGACAGCAACTGTTGACGACCTCGTCGGTCGTTAACAAACGTTGGGTTGGTTCACAGTCCCGTTAAAAATCAGCTTAACCAACGAATGAGAGCTATACGGAGGGGCAAGATCATGAATCCTGAGAATACTTATTACTCTGTGTGTAGATGTCAGTGCAATCGAAGCCCTCAAAACGGGGGGCGGTGAACTTCATGCCCACAAGATGTATAAGGCCATGACTCATTCGACATTGTACAACTTTTCGAAGTACTTATACTGTACTTCCTGGATGAAAAGTGCTAGTATAAGTTTCAAACTGTACTACCAATTGTTTGTCAGCGATTCACACGCAAAGCAGCTGATTGACCACAATCATATTATTTTGGTTTATTGAATCCTTCAATATCAAATGCTTACCTAGATACTGTATTGTATATAGAAAATACTTTGTCATTTGGAATTATTCCATTGCATACATCACACAGTAAACTTTTCAGGAGATAAAGTTGTTCTAAAATGTGCATCTGATGGTTGTCCCTGTACGACAGTGTATAAAGCACCATGGTAAATTTAACTAACATTTTTTGTTTGGAGCTCATATATAGACAAATTTGCTATATGTCGATGAAACAATACGATATGTAAAAATAATGTGCTGTTTTTTTCTGTACAATAGTGCATGATTTAACCTCTCTTTTGTCGCCAAGTTTTTAGGAAATTCATCGTTAAAATATAAATTTTCATTTTTATTCCCTTACTTCAAATCTAAAATCTGCATGATGGTTATACAGTACTGTGCTGTAATAACTGACAGCATGTTTGCGAAAAAAAATTATCATATCTTGAATAAAGCCTATGAAGTGAACATATCTTTGATATATGACAGCTTTTCAGCATTCTTTCGTGAAATACTGTATCAGTTGACGCGTAAAACATTTTTTTTTTGTGGGGCATTCTTCAAAGATAAATGATGCATATGGTGGCCATAAAACTATATGACAGCTCAGCTGTTCGTGATCAAACGAATTGGAATTTCCCTTATTGAACAATAACCAAACATTTTCATTTATTATTTTTTAGATGGTCTGGCCCGAAGATTTTCAGTTTACTGAGACAATAATTTACGTGACGCACAACAAAATAAACACTCCATTCTATACATATAAATACACAGGACTGATCTAAAGGTGCAACAATTATTTCCAGAAAATGCATAATAAAAGCCATTTATACATTGCGAAAAAAAACTCAATATACAGTATACATGCAAACTGTTGGTTCTGTTCACTTTTTAAAAATGAAATCCTGAGATAGTTATTCATTATTGACGTTTAAATTAAGGTGGTATTGCACAAAAAATAAAGTACCTACTTCGTGAGATCTTTTGTGTTCGAGATGTAATGCATATACTGTACAGTACATACATATTTATATATACAGTATTCACTAAATTTCAAACACAAAAGATCTCACGTACTATTTGATGTTTTATATGCGGTCTGGCATAATAATTCCTAGCTGTACAGTATATACGACGTGTTACATCTTGAGAAAATATATAAAAGAAAATATGTTCAAAACTTAAACGCGCGTTCAAAATTATTACTGTGCGGCATGCTTCGGGTATATTTTAAAATTTAAACGTCAAAGTCATTTCACAATTACAAATGTAAGGCAGCATCATGCGAGCAATAAGGTGTCGTCCGAATTACATGGACGAGGATAATATACAAACACTTTCCCTCAGCACAGAAAATACAGTACACAGTACAGTACATAGAGGGACGATTTTAACATTTATGATCCAATTTTTGTTTATCGATAAAATCGTTAAAAAATTGGAGTAAACTTGAGAAAAAGCATTTCGCTAGGCTTTTCTTACAAAAGTAACTTCTCAGCAAACAGGAAGATTTATGCCGTACAACTTCTGCTCGCACATATAAAAGGGCAGGGAAACTTCCAATTAAATTTGGAGAAATAATTCGAGTAAAATATGCAAGCCTTCATTCACCGCAAGCAACATCAATTATTGAAAAAAAAATACTGTATGAGTCATTCAAAGAGGTGAACTTTTTGCATTTCCCAATATGCTGGGCAGTCTCTTCAGGAATCTGTGATATTTACAGTACAGTATAATTATTCATTTTGTTTGTATTAACCATCCAGCAATTGTCATAAACCTCTTAATTCTGCGGCAAAAAATGGGCTTCATATGTTCGCGGGACTTACTGGAGAAAAATACATGAAGAAATGGTGGTGATTACAGGTGAACTCGCTCTACAAACAAAAATTTCAAGGGACCGAAAAAAAAAATTCGTTGCACCGACAGCCCCTATATAACATGGGGTGCTGAGGACCAGGCTACAATAATATATGGGCCATAAAGAAAAATTTGGATTATACTGTACCTGCACAGAGAAAATTGTTGTAGAGAGAGTCCACCTGGATGTTATGTTGAATTAAAGGGCTGCTGAATACAATCGAGATATCAATTAGTGTTTCACATGACGTCGGAATCAAGAATAAACATATATACTGTAAATACTGTACACATACAGTACGGTACGTACAGTATATATTTGACGACCATCATCCGCGAATTAAAAGCTTCAATGTACACATCATCAACCTCTCCTTCAGAAAAGGCAGCTGCACAAGATTTTAGGTACAGTACCGTACTGTAAAATGTATTAAAACAAATTTGGGTCGAAAAAAAAGCGTATATATATATATATATATATACATACAGTACATAAGCTCGTCGCGTCATCGAAACACTCACAGCACAGAAAATCAGTAAATAGACTCACAAAATTGCAAGGAAAATACGAGGCACTGGAATGAATGAACGGATGTACGGTTCCACGACGACAGCAGGATTTTAGTGTTCTCAACGAGCACCGCGTCCGCCCATTCACACAACACAACCAACCGGTGTGGGCAGGCTAATGAACCCTCGTCACGGAGTTATGCATCCGCATCATCCGCGGGGCATTCCCAGACCAAGCGGTGCTCCCTGGCATTCATCTCTCTGTGCACAGATCTCAAAGCTCGCTCCCGCCGGAAACAACGCCTCGACGTTCTCCAACATTATACACTTTCAGTCTCAAACTTCCGCTTCCATTCGGAAAGAGAAGTCAATTCAACTCAAGAGGGGAGGTCTGAAAGTTACACATCCTGGGCTATTCTCCGTTTATTCGTGGGGCAACTATATATAGGCCGGGTTTATCTTGAAATACTCGTTTTTTTTTTACAAAATCCGCAAGCTATTCTGTATTTCTGTGAAAGATGGGATAACTGAAGTTAAGTTTAATTCAATATCATTTACAGAACAGTATCTTCATTACATGATATACAGTACTGTACAGTATTACTGTATATGGCATCGACGCTGGACATTATTCTGTATATACCGTACTTTTTCTTGGAAAAAAAAATTCAGAGGAAATTTTCAAAAATCCACAATAAAATCTCAACTCTTATGAAGCCTGAATTGATGCATTTTTCTCACGGAAAATCAAGCCCAACAGAACTCCATCAGCTATTCGGAATTTCATTTTCGAGTTTCATACTGTACTTCGTTCGTATAATCACGCATATCAATGAATAGGAGAAATACTGTACTGTAATGGATTTCGTTTCCGATATGCTTCCCCATCAGGCCAAAGAGAACATTTTTTTGGAACCAGGTGGAGATAAAAGGTCGATTTTAGATATTTTCGACTTATAGCAACATTTTATTAATAAAAGCTGACGTCCGTTTTGGACACAATTTTAATAACTGAACAAAAATTGGCAATTATCTGTACCTAGAAGGTCTGGTTCTTTGTTCTCAGGCAGATCTCATAAAATATTTTAACGCTTGAAAAACCAAGTGAACTTCCACACTATACCTCACCCTCGAAATGGTTTGCTCAACTTTTTAAAACCGGAAGCTGACGCAAGCGGTTAATTCGGGGTTCCGACGAGTTTTACCATCTTTCTCCATGAAGTTAGGGGAACTTCTTGGCCTCCCCACTTTCAGAACCTGCAACATATCAAGTTAAATATTCCAAAAATTATGGCGATGAACTCATTCCAGTTTATGCAAAAAGGAAGATTACCAAGCCGATAGAAGATGCATTTTATCGATTTCAAGGATAAATTTGTCCATGGTACAAAACATAAAATCAATGTTCGTACTGAATATAGAAAACATAAAACGCGCTGATGAGTTCGTTCCTAAATATTCCCTTTCCTCAACGTAAGATCGGTTTCCTTGTTCGATTGGCGAAGTCTAGTCTATTTCTTAAAACTATTTTCAACATACAGTCCGCACCATCGAAATGGTTTGTTCCTCAACGTCTGAAAAAAAAAATTTGATCTGTTATTCACAAGAGACATCGATTCCCACCTACAAAAAAAAATCCACTATCTTCCAACGAAAAGCGAGCCATTGCGACTTCAACTTGAAATTATCAACTGCTTGAGACAATCACAACATCCCAGGAAATCGAATTAATGACAGATGGCGCGGACATAAACAATGGAGAGGTAGGCAACACACATGGAAAATTGAGTGAGCGCGGAAATTAATCCCACAAATATTTTAGTCGATGGGATACTTGAGAAAGAGAACGCATTCAAATCGTTAAAATAATTGAATCAAGTTATCTAATGCTGGAAGAGGTCACTGTAACATGACAGCAGGCATCGGAACTTTTCGCGAAGCGTGAGAATAGCTCGAACTTCGAAAAATACATCAGAAAAAGTGTCTCATTCCTTCCGCGGAACTCAATAGCCAAAGCGAAATTTTTGCAATCGATACCACACCAAAAGTTACCAACAAACACTCAGAACGGTCGTCTATCAGTCAAAATATTTCCACACAGCTAGGTAATACTAGACTCCGTTCAACTCCTCGCACATTTCCGGGCTTGCACGTTGGGCATCCGGATTCCAAGCTCTGATGTCTTCAACTGCTCGTTTCAGTTGCTTGCACCACACGTGCATTTCTTCTCTCGTGTCAGCAGCAAAAATATATCTGACAATAAGGACGATTTATTAATATTATACGCAGATGATAAGGACAATATTTTGAAATTAAAAGCTAATGATTTTCGAACAGAAAAATCCTTTCAACTCGACATGCAAAAATTACAAGACTGAGTTCCTCAACCCGCATTTCTCCGTTCCTCCACGGTAATAACACCGAAGAGACGTCGCTTACAATTAAATATCACCATGCAGTGCCCGCAAAGAAGAAACAGCGACTACTTTGTCCATTACGCGAGGTAAATTAGAAATATAAAAATACAGGCTTTTTCGATGGGTTGCCATGTTTTAGAATCTAAAAATATTGCTAAGGAAATTTAGACAACCTGAGGGACAACAAAAGTTTTTTTTTTTCAAGTGTCGTGTCCTTCGTAAAAATACCAAGGGGATATGGAGAATTACGAATTCCTTATTGCGGACAGTGGTGAACAAAATAACTTCATCGATGTAACAAACTCGTCCAGAAAGAAATAAAATACGGAAGAATTAATACAGCAGTGCAAGTAAAATCTCACCTTCTCAAGGTACGATCCCCGCGCCGGAAAGTTGTCAGCCCATCACAATCAGCAGGGTGAGCTGGTTGGGAAACTACGAGGGCGAACGAATGCATTCTTGCACAGAGGTCGCGGCGCAGTGGTCGAAAATCTTGGTTGATGCATTCTGAAAGATCGATCGTTCCCATGGCGGCCTGAGAAAGTCAAGAATTGTTCAAGTTTCGCATCACAAATCTTCTAACAAAACGAAAAACCTTCGTGCATTTTATAAAATGACACAAAATAGAGAAAATGTACAGTACCTCGTTCTTCTGATGTTGATCAGGGTACTTCCAGAACAAAACGTAGATGCCTTTCAGCACATACCACCGTCTTTGCCAACAGCCAAGTTTAGAGACTTCTTCAAACACGGTAAGAAATCCAGAGGTTTCCACATTCGACTGACTCGCACATTGTACGTGAAGCGACAAAATCCCAGAAAGTGGCGACAAAGGTGGTACCTTAAATTAGGAAAATAACCTGAAAATGATTGGCAATTCCGCGGAGAGAGAACACGATTTCGGAACGTGAACAAAAAGTTTAAAACACAAAATTCGAATGGGTTTTTCCAAATTCCAAAACCAGGTTTTCCAAATGCTGAATTCTTCTTGATTTTGCTTCAACAATGAACTTTTGGTTTAATAAATAAAAATAATTATATTAATGTAGGATCGGTTGAATGAATCTTTGTCAGGTCAGGCGACAACAACCTCCTGTTCCAGAAAATAAATTAAAGTTTTATATCGAAAAAAGGAAATGCTTTTCTTTGAAAACAAATTCAAGTCTCGTAGAAATTTTTGATTGAAAGGAATCCGACGAATACCTTGCTCAAGGTGAGCTTTGATGTTTTGACGCTTTGCAGACTTAAAGTGACTTCACCAACAAGGCCGAAACACAATTTTCTAATCGCAGGAAAACCGCCAGGCCCAATCGCAGGACTATTGTGCATAGCTGGAGGAGTTTTCATGGAATCTTTGTCGTGATGCGCTTTCTTTGGTGTCAACCTCATCCTGTGCTTCTCCTGCTAAGACGAACGATTAGTTCAGTAGACAGATATTTTTTCGTTGCGTAACTCGAACTAATGCTTGCACAACCAACTGGCTTCTACTCAGAAATTCGGAATCAAGATTTGCACATCCATAGATGTTCTAGTTGGCTTAAATCGAGATAATCGATGAGTAAAAATTGAACCAACTTTCTTGATGTGATATTTCACATCATGTTCAATCGACTCCCGCTTGGTTTGCAATGCGTGAACTTCGATGTGAACCAGAAAGTCTTCTTCCAAGTCCGTCAGCTTGACGACGTTGTCGAACACCAGACAACCATGCTTCAATACGTTCAATGAAGTCAGTGACAAGAGCTGAGAGGGGATCAGGTTCTCACGATGACGGATTAGAATGATGAAATGATGAACGAATTCTAGAAGCATAAAACGTTCGTATTACTGTATACTCAACCTATCCAGTCGAAGAATATGTGTGTTGCACTGAAACTAACTGGAAATCACTTTTGATAATCTAGCCCCCATACAATTTTCAGATACTTATTGCGATATCAGACCAATTCAAAAAGACGAACACCACACACTGATCGATCTAAAAATATTTTTATTTTATGCGTTGGGCCAAATAAATTCTGGTTCATTTTAGAACAAGAGGAATTCGGCCAATTAATTGTGCTGGGATGAGACAGTCCAAAAAAATGAAAAATGCAAGGCTTTCAGTACCTTGAGCTTCAGTAAATTCAGCGATTAAAATGTTTCACATAAAATAGATCAGTTCTAAATCGTAGAACATACCCTGAGGAAAAAGTATCAGCTATTTTCGTCTATATCAGGCCCGTCTTCTTTTCGAGGAAACGTTTTACTGCCCAAGTATTTTGCTCACCTGCTCCATCGCCGCACATGTATTCAATAAATTCGGGTTTCAGATGAAGGGAAAGCCCACTGATCGTAACAGTGCCCTTGACTGCATTGTTAGCCTTAGTTTCCCCCTTCTCAGCTTTATCCAACTCCGTTTTGAGGCGCTGGATTTCTTCCGTTATAGCTGCATGTCGCTTCGCTGTTGGAAACAAACAATTGTAGTGGAAGGCATTTCATTTCCGGAAAATGAATTAGGGAATAATGCCTTATCTTGACGCGAGAAACGGGTTTTTCAAAATGCATGGAAACAAAAAAACTTACTGGAGATGAGCAATAGCTTTTCAGCTTCAATCCTTTCAGCGGAAAGCTTGAATTCTTGGCGTCCAGCACAAACGGTTACCGCATTGCTCGCCTGGTGCATAATGCTCAATTGCGTCCCGGACTATATTTTGTGAAGTTCCACCCAATCAATAGTTTTCTCAATGATCTTTCGGCAAAATTATCAAACTTTACCTCAAAATCAAGCTCCTTGATTCTTAGGGCAATCGATTTCTTCGCGATGGCAGCTTGAACACGAGCGGTGTTCGGCGAGTCCGGTTCAGGAGACTCCTCAATAGTTGGGGTTTTGTATTGATATTGAATCTTTTTAGAATTCGGTGTCAGCAAGACCTGAATAATAAAAAATTACCATTCATCAAAACCCCGCAAATTAAAACAATTTTACTAAGAACCAGCAGCGCCAACCCCAAAAACCTAACCACTATACTGTATCTCAACTCAACTTATACAGTATAAGCAAGGCCCTAAACTACCCAGGGAGGCTATTGAGTTTAACGCAAATATAAAACAACTATAACACACATGCCATAAAAATCATAAAAAAAATGAAACCTCACGTAACTACGGGTAACTCAGCATAGACTTTATAAAGAAGAGCAATCAACGGCATCAATAAGTGACTAACCGAACTAAAACCTGTGACTTCCGCCATAACTAACCAACCTTTCAACCACGTCACCTTTTGCCATAATACATATTACAGTATAATTAAATTAAATAAAAGTAACCCAATTAAACGGTACTTCGTGCCTTAGAAATGAACTGACGTCCATGAACACGGCAGCAGTTTTAACAAGGAAGCATTGAAGATTGAATAAGAAAAAATCTCACCTCTGGTTTTTGGCGCCTATACGTGGACAAAGAATGACGCAACGCCGCTCCACTCGGAGAATCCTCGAGATGTTCAGTGCGGGGGTCGTTCAAGCGGACTCTCTAGATTTTTTTGAAGAGTAAAATAATATCCCACATTTAAAAAATCACACAGTAATGTTAGCACAACTTCAACATGCCTTCACAGTACGATCCGGAGACGCGGGTCGAGGGCTTCGTTTCCCAGGAGACGCGTGATACGATGAAAGACTTGTCGCGTCCGACTCCGTATCTACGAAATTCTGATCGCGTCCGTAGTGAACATCTGAGGTTATGGTAGATTCCGACATCATCGATTCACGGTCCCATTCGCTGATCGTCTGCAAGGAAGATATGCAGGCGACACATACAACATAAAAAAGGTCTAGAACCGATCAATCGAATAAGAAAGCCGATGAGAAAATTTACCTCCGTGTCGGTAGTTTCGTCAGCGTAATCGCCACCTCTACTTTGAATCGCAATTTTGTAAGAAATTTGACGAGACATGCGAGAATGGGATGCATCATACGTGGCTTCAGACAGCGTGGATTCCCTGAATAAAAAAAATCACACAGAACAGAGAGGTAAAATTCTGGAATCTCGAAGAGAAAAAGCAGAAATTTCGTTCAAAGATTGCTTGTAGAAGAACCGACAATTCCTCTACGCAATCAACTCCTCAAATTGCGTGGCACAGAATAACGAATGGGGGTGAACGATATGACGCACAAATTTGGAATGAATTCACTCACGTTTCAGAATCCTGAACCTCTTGATAATTTTCTCTAATCGGTTCATCGACAACAGAATCCATCTCCACATCCGCTAACGAGGGATAAAGTCGGCCCTCTTCGAATCGGACCCTGTATTTCGTTTCGTTACTCCTGGGTTCTTCAGCAGAAAAATATTCCTCATGACTCGAATTTTCAACTGCTGGAGGCGGCTTCGAGTTCGAAGGCACAGTGGTTTCGATTTCAACGTTGGCTGGAATTGACGATTGCACATGAGCTGATGGAAGCGGGGGAGGCGTAGGAATATAACCAGCCATCAGTGGCACAGGATTCGGAGCAGGTTGAATTGTTCTTCGCCAAGCGGGAACAGCTGAAACACGTCACACACATGAACTTTGGTAGCTTTTCAAGTACATTACTATCACAATCGAATCTACAAAACTTGAAAGATAACTTTACCCCAATTGATATAATAAAGTTAATCTTCCAGGCGAGAAAGATACAGAAAAAGTAAGTAGAGTACTGAATCGTCTTTTCGTTGGGCCAAGAAGAAGAACAAATGAAAAAATCCGACTGAAGATGGGAAATGGTGCATTTTGAAAAGTGTCATATTTAAAAAAATTGTACATATTATTTTTTCCCCGAAGAATATATTCGATTTCAAGGTACCGTACATGTACAGTACGTTATTCTGGGTGAACTCAAGATACTTCGTCAGATTCTTTACAATTATTATAAATGCACGAAAAACTAACTTTCGACCTGAGGAGATTTTATCTCCTCAGGTACAAGCAGATTTCGATGAATCAATCGTATTTCAAGAATGCTAAATAGGGCTCATTTTAAAAACGTTAGGTTGGATTCGACTTCGTGAAAACTAATATAAAACGCGGTTATTGAAAAGCCGCTAGCTTACCATTTTCAGTAGCAACTGCCGAGCGCGGTTCAGCGACACAAACTTCAACTGGCCGTTGAAAACGATTCAGAACGACTTCCATGTCTTTCCTCTTCTGTTCGAATGTTTTCTGGGCAATTTCGTTATTCCTCCAACCATCTTCAACATTCTCAAACAAAATTCTCTGTGCCATCACAGTGTTCGGCCCAGCAGGCACGGCTTCCACCACTGCTGCCTGGGAACTGGGCTCGGACACCGCCGGTTGATTCACTGAAGGCTTCGTTGCTTGTTGAATAGCAGGATCTCTCGGTGGTTTCGGGGGTCCGCCTTGTTTCGTGGGATTAGGTTTAGCGGGCGCCACGGTCTTTCCCGCAGCTTTCGCTTGTTCTTGCTGCGCTTTCTCGAACAATTTCATCTTCTGCGATAAAGTGAGAGTCGCGGGATCGACGGCAACAGGAGGGACGAAATCGATCTTGCCCTCAAAGTTCTTCACCATGTCTGACACAGATTTTGAAGGCTGAACGCTTTGGGTCGAAGTTTCGGGCGTTGGTTCCGCAGGTTTGACAACGTTTACACTAGGAACTTGGACTGTTTGAGAAGCACAGGACGACTGCTTCGGAATAGGTAATACATCGCCACGGGCGTCGAATTTTTTTGCTAATGACGTCACTGACTCCGGGGGAACATCTTCACAGGCAGCATTGTTTGTTGCAGTTTTTCTGGGTGACGACTGACCACCAATCTCGCTCCTCTTCAGATCAAATTCGTACTGCAGACGGGATTGAGACGTGGTTTTCTTGAATCCTTGCGACTCCTGCGGAATAACGACGCATTAGAAGTGACTTAAAAAATGAATACGATGCATATAACCCAACGAACAAAGCTGAAAATGGAACTGGCATCAAATCGTACGCACCAGCTTGTCGATTACTTTCGGATCCCAATTCAATTTTTTTGAGGGCAACTCTTCTTTTTCATTCTTTCCGTTGGATGCAACTGGGCCAGAATTGGGCGCAGGGGATGTCAGCGACTTGCGCGGTGGCTTCCGGGCTACTTCCTTCCTTGGGCTATCAGAACTTTTTGGAACGAAAGAATGATATTCGTGAGAACCCAGGTGCTCGTCATCGTCTTCACGATCCCGAACGAGTGAAGCTAAGCCGGCAAGTCTCCTTCTACGTCCATCAATATACTCCTCCGAAACGGTTGTTTCCTTGCGTGATGGACGCAGCTCGGGAAGTAAATTTTCTTTTTCGATGATCTCTCGCCCACGCGATGGAGGAAGAGGACTCTCCAACTCCGATTCATCTAAATCAATCGGTAAATCATCATCCTTCTCAAATCGAAAATACGAACAAAATGCATGACGCACCATCTCCCTCACGGAAGATCTTACCCATTTTCTTCAATCGTTCCTTAGTGGCGGAACTAAACGTCGAAGTTTTTTGTTGCTCGACGGTGTCATCTACTTCTCTCATAGGAGCTGAAGAACAAGACGAATTACGACTATGTCTCAACTCATAAGGCATCAAGTTTTACCTTTTCTCGGGGTGATGGCATCCTTCAAGTTTCGTTGCCTAGCTAACATTCTGTCAATTTCCGAGAGATCAGCATCCATGAACGACTCCTCCATGACAATAGTTAGCAGCAACTGTTGCCACAAAACCACGGAGTACGGACGAAATAAAAGATTTGAATAAATCACGAGTCCTGAGATGATTTCACAATACGCAAATAGAAGAAAGCTCCTCGGTGATGAAATCAGACGCAAGGAAATTCACGAGGGAGGTTTTCTCGCGTTAACAACTACTGTATACTCTACAACTCACGCAACAAATTAGCATAATCTTAGCTTTCACTAAGCACTCAGGTACATCATTAACAAAAATTGGTTTAAGACTGATGCACCACACGCTGATCACATTCCCAAACACTCATTCAACACTTTACTCTACTACAGCATTGTAATTCGTACCTCAACATACGTCGCGGGAAACTTCCCGCACTATTCGGAAGCCTAACGGAAATTTAAGTTGTGCGCCACGGCTCAACCGTCAAACCGGAGTATACTATATCTGATAGTACTATCGTTACGTAGTCTGCAGGCAATTCATTTCATACAACATGCTCATTTCTTTCTCTGAACATCTTCATTGCCAGAAAAGAAAATTAAAATGGTAATCACAGCATTTTTGGTCATCTGCTGGATACTTGAATTGTGATAAATGTTTCAGGAAACCGACAGTACTACATAAGCACTATACACGAGGAACTTGAATACATTCACAGAGCTTCAATAATGTCACAGAGTGAAGAATCGCAACAGCGGTTACTGTATTAGAGTTTCTGAAGCGAACTTTTCAAATGAATTCGACCAAATGGCTGTTGTATTTTGAATTGAAACGGCACTATTTTCTACTATTCTTGAAATTGTTCGTCTGAAACTTTGAAATAAATTTTAAAATAATTGATCAAAAATCAGAGAAAGTTCTCAGAATATTGAAAAATAAATAATACCATATTCAGCCAGATAAGGCAGCGAAATGCTCGTATCATTGCCGGAACATCGGCCTTCATGTCTAATATGCGTACATAAACAAACCAATCGGCAATTATATTAATTAGAAACCATTTATGCAGCACGTCAAATGTTTACATGTTACATGCACTTTGGTATGATTTACATATATACCTGTATAGCTCTATAATAAGGGTCCATCGCAGTATTTCTTATTTTCAAAATCTGCGTAATAATCATAATACAGTGTACGTAAACATATTGACTATAATGCAGTCTCCCAATAACAATTCAAAAAAGGCCAACTTTTTTCTAAAACGAGAAAAGAGACAATGAAGTCGCTAGCATGCAGGACTTCAGGCAGTACAGGCACAAAATGAAGATAAATTCCAGGCAATTGAGCAGATTTTTTATACACATATGACATTCGTTTTCCCCCCAGCTCAATAACAATTAAACTTGTTGTAATGAAATTACTGTATTATTATAACCACCTGCATGCTCTCCACATCTCATTTTCATTAAGCAGCTTCAGTAACAGCATGCATAAATTATTCTTCATTTATGTATTTATTTATACTGGACATTATACATGTGGTTCGACAATAACTAGATGGGGAAGCGGGATGAAATTTCTTCTTTTCAAAAAATAAAAATAACTCATTCAAATGGCTCCAAAATTGCTCTTGTATTTTCAAGAAGATCCGCTATTCATGGTGACTTTTATTTTTTAATACTGTACTTGTGTACATTATTGCCCTTATACTGTATATCTTAAATAAGATCCTGCTGGATGGTGACTTACTTTTAAACACAGAAGTCCAGGCACAATTGACAAACGAGTATACAGCACACAGCAGATCTTTATGCATTACCATTTCTTTGCTTTCATATCAGGCTCATTACCCTCATATCGAAAACACTTCTCAAGAATTCCCAGAGAGAAAAAACAGTTCGAACCAACATTTTCTTCAGAATATATTACAGTATATAGGGAGAGGAAAAAGTTTAACGCATTTGAATTCTTGAAAATCATAACTACCAGGATTTTCGCATGGAATTCTCTCCTTATACAGTACAGTTTAACCAGCCTATTTCGTGAACTGCGATACAGATGTTTACCGTTTTGTCATTTTTGGCCATAAAAGGGGATTTGTTTCCTTGGACTTCGATTGTACCTGATGAAATTATGTTCAAGCAGCAGCAATGTTCAGGCGTTCAACAAGGAAAAAAACGTGGAAATTCACAAATTATTTAGCTGTTTTGCCTTTATCATCCGCCCATTTCAGGGACGTCCCCAAGGAAGGATGAAAGGTACAGAATAACTGACACGCAACCAGCAAGCATGCTTATTCTGGCACATTCAAATATAAACATAAGAATTGGCTACAAATAATCGGTTAAACGCTGGGATTCAACCAGAAGCAGCAGGTGAGTAAATGGTACCCAATTTTATTCCTCGAAATCCACTTTTTTCCATGTGTCATCTTCACCACAGCACATTCCCATTTTTCCCCACACTCTGAAAACTCAACAAAACCTCGACGGAACCCGTGCTCTATATCTAAACGCAAGAATCGATGTTTCCACCATAACATTGGGCTTCAATTCATCAGAGATGCAATTTTTAACGATAATCCCCGCACAGCACTTACAATCAGAACGGGAAATGTTCTGGATTCCCTTCAACGTGGGCACTTCGTATCACAAGAAAGGCTAGAGGTTTTAGGTTCCAAATTTTCCCGAAGAAATGTATTCACGAAGTTCCTATAACATTCGAACCGAGACCCAAAACCGTTGCCAACCATCGCGCACGAAGTAAAAGCAGAGATGAATTGAAGATAACGTTAACAAAAACAGTACAGTACAGTACAACCATTTGTATTCAAGGAAAAATGCAAACGTTTAGGCTCCAATCATGTACGCTCTTCGATGAGTTGCATACTCGTTCTGACAACGTTCAATGATGCACGAGAATCACCGGCATTCTAAATTATAGATGAAACAAGAATGTTCAGGGGCTTAGAAAAATAAATTTATCACAAATTCATAACGAGGGAAAAGTGCAGAAAATAATTTCAATTCATCGCATTATTTCTCCAAGTCCGAAAAAGGATAAACGCGTGAAACGCGGTAAGGAGAAATATTGAATTCGTGAGGGCGTTCGGAGTCCTGTTGTCAGTTCCTCTTTCACTCACTTCATGACTTGCACGACTGGAATGGTGCAATCTCACAGGTCTGCAAAGCACGTAAAAAGGACAATTAAAAATACGAACCAACACACACGTCAAATTTATCCGAGAAAATAGAAGACCCGGTATTCGTAAGATACTGTATAACAGAATCAACTACAGTACAAGCTTGAACACAGCAAATGTATTTCATTTCCTAAACTTCTTCGCCCAACGAACACTGAAACCATGAATTATCACGCAAATACCACTTAAAAATTTTGAAGGGGTGTTTTCTACTATCACCTTCACCGCCCAAAACATGAATTATCAAGCAGAATAAAGGACTACACAGTATCAATTAAGCCATGATAGTGGGAACCCGTACATTCCAGCATAAGGTGGACCAGAAACAGTAGACATTTTTCCATACGGTAATTACAGAAATAGAGGACTGAAGAAGGTCAGATCAGGCAGCAAGGAGTTGAAAAAAAATACAAAATCCCCCCCCCCCCCCCGGGAACAGGATATACAACAGCCATTTGGTCGAATTCATTTGAAAAGTTCGCTTCAGAAACTCTAATACAGTAACCGCTGTTGCGATTCTTCACTCTGTGACATTATTGAAGCTCTGTGAATGTATTCAAGTTCCTCGTGAAAAATGGAAGAAGGAGAACACACATTCATGGATCAATTGAAAACTTATTTCGCCGATGGAATGCGCCTTGGCGTTCGAATGAATAGTATCCAACGCTATAGACGTTGATCATTGAAAATTTCATTGAATATGCTTCAATACGATTTTCAACATAGCTGCAGTTCATAGTAATCACGTGATAAAGACTCTTTTGATATAGTGTACAGTACTACACTTATTGTCCGTCTAGTTTTTTTTTCTGGCTCACCCTACAGACTACAAAAGCGACGCATGCGACCCACCTAAAAAATGTTGATAGGTTTCATAGCCCAGCTTCTCACAACCACCAGGAAATGAAGGGAAGGAAAAAATACGATAGCAGTCCAGCGGCATCCGTCCAATCATACATGCTTCACGTAACTACTGAATCTAATCAGAAAAAGAAATGAAAGATTTTAGAAACGGACAAACACTGAAAACCACGCTCTTCAGAATAAGCAAGGGGTCCAACAAATGTTCTCAGAATATAGATTGAAAGGGGATACAACTGAACTGAAAAACAATTATAGTCCAAAAAAATTCTTTGGTACAAAAAAAAAAGTGCAGCCCTGTTGAAACATTTTTGAAAGGGTCAACCTGGCAGATTTCTGCTCTTCATTCAAAAGATGAGGCGCCAATCTTGCAGATTTTTAGGGTACCCCAGCTTTCCCTTCAGAATTCTTGAAATAGACATGGAATTAATTCCAAGGATCTCCGCCATTATTTGATTATTAATTTCGCCATATTCATCAACTGCTGCCACTGCCTACTTGGGATGAGAATGAGGCAACTGTGAGGGCGGCAGTTATTGAAAATGGTGGGATTACCTCAGAAGACCTGGAGGTAACCTTTGGAATTAATGCCATGCCAATTTCAAGAATTCTGAAGGGAAAGCTGGGGCACGCAAAAAAATCTGCTTTTGGCGTCATCTTTTGAGAGAAGAGCAGGAAGCTGCCAGGGTGCAGTTTGCAACAAACAAAAAGGAACAAATAGGTCAAAGAGGGCTGATTTTTTTTTCTTGTGCCAGAGAACATTTCTCTCTGAACAATGGTTTTTTTTTCAGGTCAATCTTATGCGGTTTCAATTTATATTCCAAGAACTTCTCTTAGACCCATCCTAATGTTGATATTTTAATTTTTGGGGAATCCGACACGGAATCAATCAATTTTACGGTAGATCTCTCGAATGACCATTCAGGTTAACTGCAGGCAAATGAATGAGGCTCGTTGTTAGTTTTAATCAGCCCAATAAGGTCAAAAAACGCAGGCGGGGCGATCAGCTCACTCACCCGTGTCCGAATATTCCCAGTCCCACTGGCGATCCAACTCTTTCCCGAGCTTAAATACGTGAGAGAAGGATTGTAAAGAAAGCATAAATAGAAGAGCGCTATGCAACCATGACCACATGCAAACGCTTCCGATTCCACGTGTTCTTCTCTCATGATCAAGAGAGGAAATCAAAACATACGGACCCATACCAACACAATAAGAAAAAACACGGTTTGAAGCTAAAACGCATCCCTATTTTTTCATTAAAGCGGAAGAAAATTTCGAATCATGCATTCCCAACCAACCCATCCCGCATGTAACGACGACCATAAAAAAGCTAGAAGACATGCCGATATTTATGATCAACGCGGAACGCAGCTGGACTCTCTCTCCGCAACGATTTTCTCTGCATATCGATTTTTCGTTGAGTCCCGTAAAGTTCTACCACATGTTATAGGCCGAGGTTTTCTAGAACGCATTTATCTGGTTCCTTGAATTTTGTTATTGAGAGAGTCCACCTGCATAATTTCCAATTATGTAATCCAGCACTCCAGCCACTTCGCGGATGCATAACCAGAAATTACAGAATAGCTCTAACCCTAAATTTAGGATAACGTGCTTAACCTCAAGACGTCAGGGTTTGTCAGAAAACACATGCTTGAACTCATTCGATCCAATTCACGATTGTTTCTACGCAACGGAATAAATACGGAACTCCACCGTCAATTTTGGTGAAGATATACAGGAAATTAGCTACTCAAGTTAAAGGTATGAAGTTATGTACAAGGTGTCCAAAACAAGACTTCACATTGAGAAATTTCTTGTTTATGGAATGTATTTTATACTAGGCTCATGGTTCTGAATTATTAATTGTGGATAGATGTCCCTGGTAGTAAATAAGTATTTAGGCTTTTCCGGAAGTTATCCACGAGTTCATTTACTTTTGAGCTCTTCTTCTGCAAGCGTTTCACCTACGAGAATTGAGACACGCAAGAAACGCTCGCAAAGATGCTTTTTTTTGGACGCCCTGTACTCAAGGGGGTTCTACAGCATTCCAGATAATTTTCAAACATATTTTTTACTAACTTCATCATCACCGTAGCAGAGATAGGCTGCATGCGAATGACAAAAATCATGCCTCATTATCAGTTTCACGTGAATCGTGACTTCACTCACTTCTGGTAACCTCTTTATCTGCAACCACGAATTCCATATCTGTCTGTCCAGCGGGAGAGGCTCTGAGAGGAACTGATGCTTTACCGAGACGTCGTCTCCGACGTTCTAATCTCTCTGCAAGCTTCTTCCTCGCTTCGCGTTCGGTCGCCAATTGGACGTCTAGGTTGTAGTTCAACTGCTGCAATTCCCCGATCCTGAAATATCATTTTTCAAGTAGATCTTTGAGCCTCAGAACAATTTTGGCAAAGCGCAATGCGAAAACGCAAGGGATTTCAGTTGCCACGCAAGGAATTGCGTTTCCGGACGTGGAAAACTGGAATATAATTTAGCAACGAAAACCGGGCTATATCAGACTACCGCGTATCAGGTGAGCAGAAGTTTCGAGAGTTGTCAGTTCTAATTTCGTTCGTCTCGAAATCCCTACATTTTATCCGGAAAATATTCTCTGCAAGATTTTTGTTCGACATCAACGAAAGAGATTTAGGCAAAAAATAAAAAGATTTGATTAACAAGCCTATTGTCTCGACTTGACCATGGCATTTCTTAAAATTTTTAGAATAAATACGAGTACCTTAAAATACGGCTTGACAAATCGCTCGAGATCACTACACGAGAGAATCTTTTACGTTAGCCTTGTGGGTAGAGAAATTCATCTCATTCATGGGAAGTTCTCCTTCGTCGAAAAATTTTTAAATTCGTCGCTTGCTCAATTTCAACTTTTTTGACTTTAAAATCACGAGGAATACAAAATACCTGTACTTCCAACATCCCAAGGAAGATTACCATGATCACAAGAAGAATGCGATCAGTATATTTTTTATAACCTCTGCGGATTCGTGCGTATCTTTAGGCTACTTCACCAGTATTCTGGTTACATTATTATAACTTTTCTTCAAGTAGGGAAATGGGACGAAGTCATACGGACATGAAAGAATTAGAATACAAAATGTAGAAAAGCGAAATTCGTTCCTCTTGCTACGGAAACTGAACCCGCTAATTGCTCATGACACAGAACACCCTTGAAAGAAGCAAAGCATGCTTCGGATCTTCGCGTCCGGAAATAAATTCGCATGTTCCTTCGAAGGACCGAAGACATCGCAAGCAATACAGAAAGCTGACCTTCTAGCGACTTCCGCATCTGCGTTAATATCTACGTCATCATCAGCAGATGGCTGGCTCGAAGGACTTGCCGCTGTTGCGAGGGCGTGGGTGAGAGAGCTCATTTCTTTTTTCAGCTCTTTTCGCAGCTCCAGCTCTCGCTTGAGCGCACTGGACAATTGGATTTGAAGGCTATCGCGTTCTTCAGTTAGCTGTCAACACAAACAAGAAGCTCATCAACCATTTCAGCAACACATATGAAAGAATGCATGCAAAAAACGGAAAAGGATATCAATTTTCATCCACTAAAAAAAAACCAAATCAAAAGATGTCCAATACGGCAAAACTAATCGCGTTTTAAAATTAATGCGCCCTCTGATGAATTTCACTGTGTGTGACCGAGAATGTACAGATCACAGAAAATTCAAAAGCAACCTTGAAGATCTTTTCGAATACAGAAAATAATTGCAGACCATAATTTACAAGAAATCAAGGTCAAGAATCGTGGTTACCCCGAACATAAGACGATAATGATTCTGAGGAAACGATTTATCAACTCCTCAAACTTGAAAAAAATTAATTATATTGCTCACTCCGAGTCACATCGTATCTTGGACTCAAGCTTTCCCGAAACTATTTTACGGAGCGGGAGAGAACGTTCACAATTTTTTAAATACTGTAGTCATATGTCCTCAAACATTGTTTATGGCAAGGATCCTCTTCAGTTTATAAACAATAAAATTAACCAATCATGTCACTTCGAAAAAAGAAGAAAAGCCGGATGATTTCTAAAATTTAATTTATACAAATATTTAATTTACAGGCTTTACTTCGCACAAAACCTTACGAAGTCCCTGTGAGGTCACTGGCAGTGGTGCCAGGCTTAGTAAATAAGATACTTTACTGCGATATTACAATTTGAATGGGTTAACATTCTGATCCACATTTTGAACTAGCGTTTTTTTTTAATTTGTATCGAAGAATAATTGATTCCGGATCTTTGAACGCATGTAATTGAAAAGAGAGGACTTGAATACATCTATACCGTATCGCAGCAAGATCTTGAATGTTAAAAGGATTTTCGAGCTGGGAGTTTGATTTTCGCAAAGCCTGAAGGATAAAAAAGAATTTCTCAGTTCACACATGTGCGGGTTTCAACGGAAAATTGGAACGGCCATTTTTATTAGACATACTGAAAACTTACACTAGTGACTTCAAAAGCAAGTTCTTCGCAACGAACATCCCGAGAATGTAGCGCTGAAATTGTGTTATCCAACTCCATCTTCATAGCTTCATCCGGCGTAACGCCAGCAGCAATTCTTCTCTCTTCTTCCACACTCTGATCCCATTGATCCGACATTTCGTTCAAGAGTAATTCATTCCTCCTCCTCAACAAATTGAGCTGATCATCCAACTCCTTCCTCTGCTCTTTCAATTGATCTCTCTCCGAAATGGCAGCTTCCAATAAGGCCTCGATTTCTACCAATCTATACGCTTGCTTGGCGTCGCCGGAATCTCCAACGCACCTTTTCAAGGCTGCCTCGGCATCCTGGGCCTGTTTGGTTAACTGGAAATTTTCCTTCCGGGTTTCTTCAAGTTTCATGCACACGAGGTGATAATTGTATTCTGCATCCTTGTCAGAAAAATTTTGCAGGTGGCTCAGCTGGCGCCCTCCTGGAACAGCGCTGAGGAGCTGATCGTGAACCGCTGAATGCGGAATGACCTCGAACTGCTGATCCAGATGCTCTTTCTCTGAGGCAAAATCGGCTTGTTGATGGGATTCGCGTAAATCTTCCAATTCAGCCTTCAAAGATGATATGCATAAGTCTTTCTCAGATGCTTCGGCGAGTTTTGACGCAAGCTGGCGCTGGACTTCTTCGATCTGGCGATTCTGCGTTTAAAATGGGACGAAATTAGTACTGTACGAGGCAGCAGAACATATTCACTTGAAATGTTCATCAGAAGACTAAACCCTGATCATAGAACTTGCGACTTCGTTTGACGTACTCTTTTTGTGGTACAGAACTTGCTCCTGTGTATAAACCGAGTTTATATGGTCTTGAACAGAAGTGTCACCTGAACTATGCTACGTTTCATTAGATTCAATCCATTCTATACTCGTCAAATTCGGTCAGGTTTGAGACAACACTTTCCTGACGCTCGAAAATTCAGTTCGTGGGATTAAACAAGAGAAGTATCCATTTTTCCAGTCTAACCTGATGCAAAAATCATCTGAGAATAATTGTCTGCGTCAGTTTACAGTTCATCATCACGAGTCACTCAATAAAAAGATATACCTCCCTCTGATCTTGTCAACAAATACATATTCGGTACAAGGAAAAAACATGTGCAGTATCTTACCAAATTTTCTTCTTCTTCAACCTTCGCCAAAAATTGGTCTTCATGTTCTCTCAGGGATTTTCTTATTGTCAACAGCTCATTTTTCAGCTCCTGGATTTCAATTTCTTTCGTCTGCTCAACTTCGAAATCTTGAGTTTCAAGTCGACTTTCCAACTCGGAAATGAGAACATCTTTGTCAACAACAGCCAATCGGAGTTCGGCTAATTCCTTCTCATCAACTTGCACAACCTTCGACCTCGCCATCTCAGATCGGGCCAAATCAAGTTCGAACTTCAATGCATCGTATCGGTTTTGCATTTCGGCGTATTCTGCATACATGGAATCATTGGCAGACTTCAATTCTTCATACGCAGATTCCAAGCGATCCTTTTCAGCCATCAAATCAAATGCGTCTACGTGCTTTGCTTCGAGATCTTCTAACCGACGCAGAAGGTCTTGATTTTCCACAGCCAGATCTTTCTCTTTACTTTGATGATCAACGTTAGAATCTTTAAATCGACCCAACCAACTCTGAAGGGTTTCAACTTCATTCGCCAAGCCGGCACACTGATCTTGGAGCTCAGTATTCGCACGAGAAAGTTGCTCATTTTCCAATGTCAGTCGTGATATCTCAACTTCTGCAAAACAAAACAAAAACTATTTAGCAATACTCTATAATGTAAAGCGATTCCACTAATACAGGATTACAACCTATTTCAAACGTCTTCGAACTACGAGTGTAGTGCATCAATCATCAAAAAAAGAAGAAAAAAAAAGGGTTCAGAAACTTGTTGAAGATAAATTTAAGACGGGTAACAAAAAACATGAAACTGCGTTCTATCGTGGTCGCATTAACGGGCGAATTTTGTTTCATGAACACACACGCTGAAAATATAAATTAATTGGGACAGCGAAGACCAGTAATAACTTCGAAAATGAATGCCAAACTCACCCATCGAGCTATTTGAAGAAGCCGCTTCTTGAAGATTCATACCCTCATTATTCTTCAATTCTGCTCTCAGCTTTTCTACTTCTTCCGAATACTTGGTGTTCTCGACTTTCAGGGCTTCGAGTTCTTGCGAATAACTTAAATTCTCCGCAATGCGTTCATCCAAGTCAGCACAAAGAGAAGAACGTTCTTTCGCATGTTCCTCGATATGATTCTGAAGAGTGTCGGTTAGTGAAGCGTAGGTTACGATCTTTTCCTCAGCGGCTTGTTTCGAATTCAGAATGGAGTCCCTTTCCGCAAAGAGTGAAGCTAATTTGCCTTCCAGATCTTTAATGGTGGCTTCGAGATTTAATTTTTCGTCTGTTACGATGACTTCTTCGCGGGCATCCTCCAGAACGTTGATCTTTTCTTTGACGTCTCGCAATTCTTCCAAAGCTCGGTCTCGCTCGAAATGCGCAGCAGAAATGCTTTCCCGTAGGCCTTCGATTTCGGACAAGAACTGGACACGCTGGGCTGAAAGACTTAGTTCTCGTTCTTGTTCGATCTCGGCGAGACGAACCGACATTTCATCGCGGGATTTCAGATTTTCTTCTCGCAGACCAGATAAGTCCTTCGAGGATGTTATAAGTTCGACCTTCAATGCTTCATTTTCTTCTTGAACGTGGCTCATTTTCTCGATTAAATCTTCTAGTCGATTCTTCAAGTCTTCGTTTTCAGAAGACAATGCCGCAGAATCTCGATTAACATCCTCAAGATTATTTTTCAGATTTTGAAGGTCATCCATTTTAGCTAGTTGATCAGCGGAGGTTTCTTGGAGTACATTTTTCAAACTCTGTAGTTCTTCATCGAAAGAGACGAGTTTGCACGATAGCTCATTGTTTTTGCCACGAAGTGCATCCAAATCTTCTTCCAACTGAGAATTTGTCGCATCAACCTCATTTTTCTCTTCTTCGTTCATATTTAATAAAGCTTCGAATTCTTTCAGCTGACGTTGAAGAACTGCGATTTCCTCATTAAGAGTTTCGGAAGTTTGAGCTTTTTCTTTTTCAAAAGCCAATTCATCTCGAAAACCTTTCATCTTGCTCTCCAAAGCTGCGATAAGTTCTTCGTGCTCAGCATCCAGTTGCTCCAGCTTCTCATCGGACTCGAGAATTTTAGCTTTATAGCTGGTGATGTCTTCAGTCATAGACTTCAAAAATAAAATTGAAATTCACTATACACTTCAAAATGTATTACGTATCGTTCAAGCTTGGACAACAAAAGACAGAAGTTTGGATTCTACTCAACTATTTTTCAGTGTATTTTGATTTGAGGTTAGCTCAATGCAAACATTTGAACAGTTCCGTATTTTCATTTAAGGTTCGCTCAACGCGAACACTTGAACATTTCCAAACATTTCAATCAAAATACTGTACAAAAACAATGACAACGAAGTGAAAATGCACAGAAGATAAAGTGAATAGGGAAGAAACAGAACCATAAGCTAATTTGAATTAACCAAAATATTTTCAAATTTCTGTTTGACACTTGCTCTCTTGACGTGCACCCACCAAGTTGTTTCTGCTATAACCAATTGAATAAATCACTTAGTACACCAGCGAGAAAAAAGATACCGTATTTTTGTGAAACCACTCACCTGAATTTGATGCTCAGACGCACTCAGATTTTCTTCCAACTTCAATACGCGTTCATGAAGCTCAGTTCGCGAATTACGTTCATCTTCGAGTTCCTTCTCCCGAGTCTGTAGCAGCTCTGAAAGGGCTTCATATCTGAGTTTGTTGTCTTCCATCTCTTCCAGTTTACTGTCAGATTCATCCGTAAGCGATGCAACTGTACTGCGTAGTTCTTGTACAGACAATAGCAGGGAATCCTTCTCAGCCAAAAGTGACATATTGGATGCGAGCAAGTCCGAGTTTTCCATCTGCACGCGACTTAAATCTTCGATCAGAGAATTCAACGAGGAGATCTCGTGGTCAAGCTGGACTCGTTCTTGACTCAGTAGCTGAATCTGATTATCACGCTCAATTAATGCGTTATTGATTAGGTCTTTCGCTGCTCTAGCAGCTTGTAAATCGGTGGTTAGAACCGTCGAAGTTTCCCGAATATTATCGACATCTGTTTGAACTCGTTCGAGCTCGTTTTTGAAGAAAGTTAATTCCGCCTGCAGCGACGCATTCTCCATGGTTACACCCGCAAGGTTTTCTTGAACTTGTTCAACACGCATTTCAAGGGATTCTTTCTCTTGTTTCAGAGAGTCCCGTTGTGTTATTGATTCAGTAATGGCTACTTCTTTGGATTGCAGCTCATTATTAGAGAAACTCAGTTTCTCTCGGAGCAGCGAATTCTCTTCAGTTAGGTTTGCAAGCTTGGTTTGCATCTCTTCCATATGCACTTGTAGAACTTCCTTCTCTTTAATCAGAGCGTCGCGCTGCGTAACAACTTCCATCATCGTTCGTTCTTTCGATTCAAGCATTTCCGATAAATATTCCTTGGTACATTTCAATCCTCCTGATCCAGCGTCGACATCTTCGCTGCCAACTTGACCGCGCAAGACCTCAACTTCCATTCGAGTTTTCATCAGCGATTGTTCTGAAATTTCCAACTTGGAGGATATTTCACCTTTTGCTTGGATCACACGGTCAAGTTCACTTCTCAGTGACGCTATTTCTTCGTTCTTTGCAATAATGTCGGGTACTTTGGCAAGCGATTGGGTGAGTTGAGGTGAATCTCTTCCACTTTCCTGCAACGTTCGCGAAAACAGTCCAGATAAAAGTTTGGAAAAAACGTAATTTCACCAACTTCAGATTTACTCTGACTGCCTCCCCATTTGAAAATACTGAATGAGGAATAGCAGGACACTTCACAAATAACTATTATAAGATGTGCAGAAATTATATGCACAGCGAAAAAGTTAGGCATAAAAATAATTTTTCTCTGGGCGGATGTTGATATCAACCACAAGAGCATTTCGAGCTACCGTCACCAGATATCATCAACTGTAAATTTATTTATTCTTACTCGTGGTAGCTACAGTTTAATTTCCATCCAGGTCAAGAAATTGCTTTGAATCCCTCTCAATATAAGAGATCATAAATACAGCATATAATTGCGTTCAGAAAAGTGAACCTTCGATGAATATTCGACGGCTGTGAGTGCAGCTATTGAGGAAATATCTGAGAACCCATGATGCAGTTACAGGGCAACCTTTCGAAAGAAAACGCACCTGTGAATGCGCAGGTGATGCAACACCTGCAGTCTTCAATTGCTTCAGGCGATGCAAGGCTTTGGTATACTTGACTTTCAGGGCATCGTATTCAGCTTTCTGAGATTTCAGTTCGGCAGATAGAGCATGACCTCCTTCTAACGATCTTTCGCATTCAGGAGCCGAGGGGATATTCTTCTGCATTTCATTGTATGAATCCTGCAGCGCATGGAGGTTTTTTCTCACGTCAGTCAGTTGGATTTTCAGCGTTTCTGTTTCCATTACGGATTTCTCCAACTCCGACTTCAAGCGGGCGATTTCGCTATCCTGTTCGAAGACCTAGAACGTTCAAAGGAAACACTGGTGTCAGAGTAAAAAATCGACGAAGATTCGAAGACAAGCGATACATGGGTAGAAGTTACGAACCATTTGCATCTAAAATTCTTCAGTCAACTTTCAACGGAACCTTAGACATTCCCACTTTCTCAGTGAAGTATTGGACCGAGACAAAACCCCAGATGTGAATTTCTAGAACTGTAATCCGGACGACCTTCGGAAGTTCGAAGCCAAGATATACAGTATTATTCTTTACCGAAGTTGAGAAAAGAGCACTCGACTGCTGACTGTGAATTTAGAGATTCACCTCAATGATGCAAACTGAGACCTTCATTCTTTTTTTAAGTTCATACAACGACGCAAATTCTTGTCACTTCGGTTACGCTCTAAAGTTACAGTATATCTTACAGTAACTTCTGTATATCTTAGGTTAATTCATACGTTTTCTGAGCATTGCTCTAACGGAAACCTGAAATTTCACGAAGACACTGTAGACTAGTCAAAACGTACCTGATTTTCGACGTGCTCGCTGAAGACACATTTCTCCAAACCGTTGATCTTCTCTGATAAACGTTCATTTTCATCTTTCTCATCATCCAAATGCTCTTTCATGATACGTAGCTCATTTTGATATTGCTGTTCAATCTCTTCTCTCGCTCGTAACACGTGGGCAGTTGCCACAATACGATCTTGTAATGTCATGCTCAGGCGCATAAATTGCTCCATTACTACAGCAGCACCCCGTTGACAGTCTTTCTTCATTCCTAGTGCTTCTTGACGGATAACGTTCATAGTGCTTTTAGCAGCAACCGCGAAGTCGTTAAATTCTCGAGTAGTATTCAAAAGACGTCTATTCAACTCTTGAAGATCATGAATTCGACGAGATTTTGTTTCGGCATCAGAACGAGCTTCTTCCAAGGACTCTTTCAGCATGATGCATTTGTCCTTTAGCTCGTCTAAAACGTCTATGCTGGCATCTTCCCCATCTTCCGAACGCATTTCAAAACAACGTTTCCGGAGTTGAAGCAAAGCTTCTTTCACAGCTTCTTCCATGGTTATCACAGACGCTCTGCAATAATAAAAGACGTAATATTTAAAATTTTTTTACTGCATAAGTTGAAAGAAATTAATTTGGCTAATTATAAGACACCCCAATAAAATAAATATCGTGAGGAATGGAATTAAGTCAGCGGAGAACAAAAGGGTGTCATAAAGTTGACAGGATGCTGAACTTGGAGGCAAGGGCTCCTTTGCCATACTGTATTAGTCTCACTTCATTGAAAAAACGTAAAGCTTCATTTCTATATTTTCTCTTTCCTTGATCACAAAATAAAGCCAAAAAGTTTCTAGAAAATTCTAGTCTGAGGTCAAAAATCTCAACATTAGGGAGGTTTCTACGCATAGTTCCTAAAGGAATTCAGAGATGGACTTGAAAAATAAATTCGCTACAGGGAGATATTCGACTCGGGGAGGTTCGAGTAATCGAGTTTCAGCTGTTATTTGTTTTTGCATTCCTTTAATTTTTCACGATGAATGATGTCTCCCACGCTAAGTCAGGTGCGGTGCTATCCAGATCCAAACCCAGCACATTTCAGACTCGGTTGGGTTATTTTTTCTAAGACAGTGATTCAGGATAAACCTGACCACAGCCAAGGAGTAATGTCGGCATGATTTGAAAACATAAGATAAAATATTTAGAAGAGAACACTTACTGTTCAGCAGAGAAATTTGGACATGACGATGCACCTCCTATTACGGCTTCGCTCTCCGGCTCATCGCCAGCAATGAATCTCGGGAACACTTCACAACTTAATCGATGCAAAGTGTTCTGCAATTCACCCACGGAAAAGCTTGGAGAAGCACGCAGGAAAGCCTGCTGATCTGCGTGGAGTCTAGCTTCCTTGTTTTGCGTTTTCACCATCAACCTAGAATAGAAGGTAAAATCAGATAATTTAGACCAAAAATTACGGAAGTGAATTACTCAACGTCGAAATTACTTTCACCGGTATATTGCTTGACAGTACGCAAAACAATTTAAGAAAAAAGTAGAAGCTCAATTTACCGGTCGTACCGAAGCTCCAATTCGTTCTTCTCTTCCATTAATGCCTGAATTGTTCCCTCTTTATCATCACACTTGTATCGCATTTCGAGCATTTCATCCGTCATAGCACTTAGTTGAACGGTGAGAGAATCTCGCTGCTCACGCAAATTTGCCACTTCGGAGTCAGTGCGTTGACGCCAATTGGAAGATTGAGACACGTTTTCAAGGTCTTGCTTCAACTCGTCACGGTTCATTTGAAGGGTTTCAATCTCATCTAGCAAGACCGTGTCGACGAAATCGGTGAAAACTCGCATTTTCTCCCAGAAATCAGGAAGAACGTTGAACCGTTCCGGCTCTTCCAGGTACTGCTTCCACCATGGGATTTCGGCTAGTTTAAGTCCAAGAAAACACCGAAAATAATGTCGGTCAGATGAGGAGATTCACATTATCGTCTTATCTAAAGGGAAAAGGTCAATTCTCTGTTCGAGGGAACTCAGTAACATGAAAAAAGGACTTCGAATATAAACTCTCACAAGAAATTGGATTGGATATCGCTACAGATTCTATGTGGTTAGGATCTGTTGAGAAGTAAGGAGACGATCCGCGCAGTGAAAAAAAAAAAAAAAACTAAGGTAAACACACGTGTTACTAAAAAAAAATTTGTCCAAACGAATAAAAAATTGTCATTTCGAAATCTTACCGTATTCCGTGTCAGATACGTTAGAATCCCAATCTCCCCATTCGTCCCTTTCGCTTCCACCCACTTTTTCCTTGCAGACGTTGTCACACACACCAGAAACTTGACGAACAAAAATGCAAAATTTTCGGAAAATTGATTCCAAGCGACTTTGTAGCGCATCGGGTACAAATTGAGGCGACGGACGTGGAGCATTCGCCGATTGTGATTCAAAGTCAGCGAGCAATTCCGCAATTCGCTTCTCAGCATGAACAACTTCTTCATCCCGATCGTGCAAAATTTTCTTTTTCTCGCGATGAGCATTTTCTAAACTTTTCCTAGTATGTTCCAATTCTTCTAAAGCTGTTTCCAATCGTTTGGTCAAGTCTTCAAGCTCACAATTTAGAGCCTCAGTTTGCATTTCGTTCACAGCGACCTTAAAAGGTAAGAGAATATTTTCTCAACCTTGGTTATTTTCACAAGGCGTCCGAATTTATCACGTGGCCATGACAAAGGAATCAGGAATCATTTCACAGAATTCCAAAGCCTATAAAAATTATACTCATTAAATCAATGATCAAAGTTTATGAAACCTTTTGGTGACGCAGCTCATCCTGGAGTTGATCGATTCTGCTCCGGGCAACAGCCAGTTCTTCACTCAACGCAATTGATTCTTTTCTCAACACAGCATTTTCTTGAATCTGCTCTGCGCCGTCCATCAGCATTTTTGAGGCGTCAGAAGCCATCAAAAGTACATCGCTTTGGAGCAGATCTCTCTCGGATATCAGTTCTGAAACCGCTTCAGCGTCAGTGGCGCGATCTTGCATCACTATTTCTCTTGAAACAGCACGCTGAAGTTCCAGGACATCGACACGGTTTTCGAGCTCTGAAATTTTTTGCTCTCGTTCCACAACAATAGCCTGAGTTTCTTCGAGTAGTTTCGAAAGTTCAGCGCTGGTCTCCTGTTGTTGGTGGAACTTTTCGCTTGTTTCAGACAAAGACTTTTCAAGTTCTTCGACTTTGAGCTGCAAAAATTGAAGTCATCCTTCTTACATGATACGGAGAATAATTTACTAAGCTCATTTACGTAATCGACGATAAGACGAGGAAAACATTGTTTTTTAAATCTTTAAACCGATTTCCCCCCCTCAAAAAATAAAAATGCAATACAGTACAATATTCGAAAGGGGTCACAGAATTACGCAGTACTGCGAATGGTCGCATTTTCGCAATGGACGGCGAAATCCGGATTGGATCTCACGAACAAAGCGGAATATCGCCAATTAAATTTGAGAACAGTATCCTCGGCCAAACATAATTGAAAGAAATTCGGATTAAAATGTACAGAATCAGATTCCTTGACAAACCTTCAATTCGTCGATACACGAAGCCGTGAGTTTCTCTTTCTCTCCGGCAAACTCAGTCAACTCTTCTAGTTCGACGGCTTTAGCCTGAATCTCAGCACGAGCTGCATCAAGCTCATAATTAAGCGATTTTAACTGCGACTCCAAATTTTCCCTCTTGGCGGCGCGATGAATCTCATCTTCGTCACCTTGTGACACCTGATCCATCAGATCTTGTAACTTTTTGTCTGTTTCAATTGTCAAACTATCGAACGCAGCTGTCTTTGCCGCGAGCTCCAAACGGAGTCGAACAGCAGTTTCTTCAGACGCCGCCTTGTCAGATTCCAGATTTTTAACGGCATTCCTCAAGCTTTCAATCTCATTCTCATACTGCTCTTTGACTTGCAACAAATCCTCAAGTTTCTTCAATTCCTCTTTCGCGTCCTGCAATTCCTCTTCCTTTACCTCAAGCGAGGATAATCGCTCGTTGGCCTAGAGGAAACGTAACACATTCTTAATTTCGGAAAGGCCAGCGTTATCCTGATGAAGACAAAAATTCAAGGCGAAATATAATAACAGAAACGCACTAATGTTTACAGCTTCTGGACGGTAGTATAGTTAGATTGCTAGGTTTTTTTATTATTATTATTACCTGGAGCTTCAAATTTTCCAGTTCTTCGCATAGCTTGAGGCATCTTGCTTCAGTTCTTTCTCCTGAACTGATCTTGAGTTCAAGCTGTTCGTTTAAATCATCAATGAACGCCGTTTTCTCGCTTATCTCCACTTCAAAATCGGCCAATTTCGCCTGCAAATCTTGCAGATCATTTTCCAAATCGCAGATACGCGCGTCTTTCGAAGTTAATTCTTGCACTAAATCCGTCATGCCACCGAAATTGATCACTTCCATGTCACTAGCCCTGGTACGCAACTCATCAACCTCCTCCATCAAAGATGCAATGATTCGTTGATTTTCTACACCGTCCGCAGCATGAGCAAGATTTTCTTCAGCTTCTGACGCGGTTGGTACGGAGCTGGTATCATCATTTTCCGAAGCTTCGCGACGTTCAGGGCGCTTGGATTTTCCACTGATTTTACCAAGCTTCCGTTTAATCTTTGATATCATCCTGTCCCGTTCGGCAACATCTGAATACAAAGTAAAAGTAGAATACAGTATCACAATTTGATCCCCTGAAAAATTCGTATTGATCCATTAATGAATTCTAAATTCGAAGGGTTTGATTTTAAAAATGCATTCATTATAATCAGTGAGATTTCCTACTCGGACATAATAAGAGTGAAATGATCAAAGTAAGATTGTCATACAAATGCCATTATGGTTGCAAGTTGTGATGTTCACAAATTCAGTTGTAATCGCTGATTCAGTACTGGTCTACCCTTTTTCGGTCCACCACGATTTCAAGATTGCATTGACCCAAATGTGAACGTCTCGTTACTTCCACAGGAATTCTTTCCCACGTTCGTTGGAGCAGCAAGCTGAACTTACCCGGAGGTTTCAAGAACTTTTTTTTTAAATCGAACTACTGAACGTCGAAGAAAAAGGAATAACTACTGCATAAACTAACCTCGCAGCAATTGAATCTTGTCTCTTTCAAGGGAAGAGATAGTTGTCACATGAACGGAAATCTGTTCGTTGGCTTGAAGGAACTGGGTTTTCCATTCAGCAGCATCTTCATGCGCTTCCATCGCGAGTATCACTTCTAAAAAAGTTGAATAAATTTCGGAAAATTTGAGAAGTCCTAACCAGAGGATTAAATTACCTTCATGCTTCTTCAGTTTTCCTTTCAATGCACCATTTTCATCAGTCAACGCATGGATTTTTTCCAGATTTTTGTTTTCTCTACCCGTAAGCTGTGCCTCAAGCAACTCGATCTAGAAACACAAAAATTTCAAGTTAGATTATTTCCCAGCTTGAGCTTCAGTAATAATGACCTGAGCTTGTAATTCAGATATTTCTTCTTCTTTAGCTTTTGCCTGGTTCTTGAGTTGATTCTTCGCTTTCTTCAGGTCATTATCCAAATCTTCGAAATCCTCTTGATAATCCTTTTCCAAACGACGGATGCGATCTTCAGTTTCATCTTGCATACGCACAATTTTTTCTTGCAAATCTGCATTCCGAATACTCAAATCGTATCGAACAGCTTCCAATACTTGTGCCTGTTGAGCCAGTTTTGCAGCTCTACAGAATAAAGTACCGACAGTCATAACATCCATATCTGTCTCGTATCTTGACTTCAACATCAGCATATGCATCGAAATTGTACCTTTGGCTTTCCTGATCCAGGTCATTCAGGATCTGTTCACGTTCCAGGTCCCATGCTTCCTGTTTGGCTAAAAATTGGTCTTGCATGGTTACGATTTCCTTTCGAGTGTCCTCCAGAGCAGCCGACATTTCCTTGTTTTTCTTGGTAAGGTTTTCAGACATAAGGGCAACAGCTTGAGTTCTGGCTTCGATGATTTTATCCTTTTCTCTCACAGTTTCCTATCAGAAAATATTTCACGTGTAACACGAAAATGGACAATGAACAAAAAAATTACTTCTAAACCGAAAATGTTGTTCTCCAACTCCGAATTGCGCGCTTTCATTCCATTCAGCGCCTTTTCGAGGGCGATGATCTGACGAACACTCGAACCAAGTTTCTGCAGAGATAAAAAAAAAAAAACCTATACAGATCTGGAAAATGCTCTTCGGTAGTTGTGACTTGTGAACACTAACACTGGAATCCGGAAGTGGGTCAACGACAGTCGGCTTTTGAAGTTCGGCGAACTCCTGGTTTTTTAAACGTATTGTCTCTTCCATCCTCCTAGAAAGTTCCTCCAACTTCCGCTTCTCCTCCCGGAGTTTCTTCACACATTTTTCTCTAGAAGAACGAAAAAACCAACATACAGTATTTACAAGGAGAAAAAATTTACGTCACGCTGAAAGGAACCTCGATTCCGTCAGCTGGCGAGTCATCATGGCGCTAGATGTTGAGAACTGTGACGTATCCACGGATTCAGCCAGAGATATGTCAGAAATCACGGACATTTTGTCGTCGTCATCTGGAAAGTCAGATGCAACTGTATCGCTAAAGAGCGAAATTTCTTCTTCGGACTCCGGTTTTCTCGCGGAAGACGAAACTTCTTCAACCATTGGAGGGCTAGACTCATGCTCCAGTTCGACAATACGTGACTTCAGATTTCGAACTCGGGCTTTTTGTCGCTGCTTCACCTTGTTCAGCTTCTTGATGATTTCCTATACGATCAACCTCTTTCATGAATTATACACCCAATGAAACAGAATTCTTCACTATACCTCAGCTTCAACTTTCGACTTCGATGAATTTTCTTCTCTCTTCTTCATCACGACACGCAGCTGATCCAGCATGTGCTTCGTGTTACTCAGCTCATCTTCCAGTTCTTCTACATCCTGACACCGGGAACCGCTACGAGGCGGTTCTCCCGGATCTGAACACACCTTTTCTTTTGAGGACATTTCAGTCCTTCTCAATACAAGTTAAGTTCCCTTCCATCACTAAACAAAAATAAGGATCGACTTAAAAAAACCAGAATCGCTTGAAAATTAGGGCTTTTGGGTTAGAATAATTTCTGAAAAATGTGAAAGACGATAAAAAGCGAACCATTTCCGCGTCGATCAATGACTTCAGAAAAGAATTTTGCAAACTTACAGTACAAGCATTCTTTTCAACAGCAACACGAGATCTCACGCTTTACTGAGCACAGGACACTTCGGGTATTGACCGCATCATGATCTTCAGAATTCCAAAGACTTAGCTCAGATACATGAAGGAACACCTCTCATGTACTTTACACGGCAGCGTAATCATGCTACAGACGAATTCATCGAAGTTCGTCCGATTACACATTAGAACCACATGCATTACATTACCCCGTTGTTCGCAAGTGAGACTAACTCTAGTGTATGTGAAGAGAAATACTCCAGGTAGGCAAAATTGTCGGGCGCATTAACCTTCCGGTTACTGGGCTTGAATGCATGCCTAGTCATCAGTAACAACAATCAGTATTTAAATTACGGGCAAATTCCACCAGAAAAAAACCACACTTCACACAGCAGTCATGTGAGTGAATCTACGGTGATCGTAACTGAATTGCTTGGTCATCGTGCCATACAGTACTGTAGTGAAAACTGTAACACTTAGCAGGTCAGATGCATCTGGCAATTTCGAACCAAACAAGCATAATCTGACAAAATGAAATAAAGAACGCACCAATGCTGAGTACATTTTTGAAATTGCAATGGTTTTCTTCGTAATTCTGACGATTTGTTCCCAATCTAAAGCCAAAACCTTACAGATGCAATTCTGGCAATCTTGTCTTGTGTCAAAATTTCTCAATTCACTTCAAGAAATTTATTCTCGAAAAATATTTTCTGCTTTCTCTTTCACTGACAAGTGACTACAGAAACTTTGCTTTTGTACTTCTTCTGAGACAGAGGAGTTGCTTCCATTCATTTAAGTCAAGATGCAGCACCTATTTGTAAACATAAAATAGGTCCGAGTGAATAGATTATTAACTTCTGGGAGAATTTCAAAGGAATCATATTACTGCATTCCAAACCTACCGAATTTCCAGTCATAAAAATATTGTATATGGGACCCCCGCTTTTTGGTATGGTGGATTGTACCCAATAATGTACTGTACCTCAATTATGGAAAAATGGATATGACTGACATCTTACCCACGCGATGTGGCTTGTCTTAATCTCCCACCGCGATGAAATGTACGCGTACCTGCCATTAGATGGTGCGTATCACTATGATGGGTCTGGGCAAATTCCTGGTTAGTCTGTGCTACTCGCGTGCGATCACTCTGGATTCTAGGCATTTTTTATTATTGCCTGAGTGAAGTGTCTCATGAGGATTGACTCCGATTTGTTTATGTTGGAGTGTAGTTTCGACGAGCATCTCTGTTGATATTCAATCTGGATTCATGAATGGGGTGAACGATCGAATCCGCCCCGTATAAAGGAAAACAAAAGCGCATGGACTTTCTCGGCGATTGAGAAATCACTACGGTCATTTAGAGTCACCCTGAAACCATCGAAATGAAGTGTTCTCATTGATCGGCCGTGGACAAAATGCTGCGCGGTGGAGTGCCGCACTGTGAGTGAGATTTGTGATAATCTCGATATCTGTGTGAGAGATCAGGAGGATCATACTGCGTTGATAATGTAACCTGTGGTTTCAAGCGGAACGCTGACGGCTTCGTGTATCAACCTGCCATTGTTCCGTTCCGTGGAAATTCTAATTGTTTTGCGGGAGCGTGTGAAACTGTAATCCCGTGGTTGTAGGGGAACTACAGTATGATTATTTGGATTCCCCCGAAAAGTTGAATCATCTGCTCATACAATGTGATGGAATTTCATTGTTCGTTCGGTCATTCCAATCGGCAGATTGATGGAGATTTGGGTTTTTGTATTTTGGAGGGAAGCGATGTTGCTTCTGAGACTCGATGATACAGTATCTCGACGTTAGGTTGAGATAGGTTGATGGCTACATGGTTACACACCCGCACGTTTTATCTGACGTAGAGGTATTCCTTGTTGTTGAGCTTACTATATATGCTGGTGCTTGTGAAGCTTTCACAGATTGCGTTGATGTAAATTCACGGCGGGGGTCCTTATACCAGAAGGGTTTGGACCATGCGTTCAGTCTGGAAATAGTTTGCCCCATGCCAAGTAACCAGAGTACAGTCTTTTTTTTCGGGAGCACACCGATAAAAAAAAGACTCCGTTGGCATTCAGCATGATGACGTCCTTGGACGCAATCCAGGTTCGACGTATTCGTTCCAGGATTTAATTTTGTCAGAGCGCTGAGCATGTTCAGGAATGACGATAGGACATGCACAGAAGAGTAATGCGAATGTCTTCATCTGGCTGAACGCAAACAGCACCTGTTCCCTGGTACTAGCACCTGTTGACCCTCAGCGCGTGAGGTGTATTTACACAGCCTAGTTCAGGTGATTTCATTCACGATCGCGACAGAGTGGATTCGTTCCCCACGCTCGCGTTCAGTGAACCCTCGTCATTCCGTAATTGGAACCATGAACATGGTGGCGGTGGGACGGCGTGTGACATTGAAACTTGCTTCGCTAGCAATGATGGCTAATGAGCTTCAGCTTGTGAAATCGTTTTGTGGCGGCTTCGCTGCGGAGGTGCACTATATCTCTTTCTTGAACAACTGTAATGACGGAAACTTCTGTGTTCGGATATCAGGAACCCGGCTGGGAGCCGAGCTTTCGCTAGGCTCCGCGCGCGTCTATGACTTGTGTTTCTTTAGTTAGACGTCGCAGCTCGTCATCAAGACCATTTGGTCCATGGCCGTCGCGCAGCACAAGTTTTACGTGGAGAACAAACAAGCGAAGGTGAGAAAGTTTTTTTTGCAGACCTTGCTTCATTTTTGAGAACCTGTGAAACAACTAGCAGAAGAAAAAAAAACCGTTTCATCATGGGATCGAGATAGAATCTAGTAGAATCGAAGTTTCATCGGAACGCGCATTCATTTTGTTTAGTGCAGTGGTGGCTAAGATTTGACGATCTCTTCTTTTAGCTTTAATTTTAGTTTCTGTGCGGTACAGTATATTCCTTAATTGGTTTGTTGGAACTAGGTTTGCTTGTGATATTATGTCAAGTAAGATATCAAAATACTTTTATGCGGAAAGAATGCATGGATACTGTGCAGTACTGTATTGTTTTTCTGGTTTTTCTTTTATTAGGTTTGGGTATTTCTAATGCGTGATGTTTGTCTTTAAGTGACCATGTGAGCAATTAACCAAAAAGTATCGTTAGCGTCAAATGTTCCAGTCTGATCATTGATAAACTCTAAAAAAAAAAAACCTGAGCTATTGTCCTTGCGTCGAACTTCGAAAGCCTGCATATTCATTTTTTTAATGTTTGCGCTATTTCAGCAAAATTTCAACTGGAGATCGTGTGAACTTAACCTCTTGAAAAATCGAACAGACTTGACAGTCGGCTGTATTAAACGAGGCAAACTTTTTCGTTTCGAGACTTCTAGACGAATTTTACAATCTTTTATTTAGGCTTCTGTACCGCAAAGCAGAGACAATGTCTGGGCTCTGCCCGTGGCCCCTGATTTGTCCAAATCCTGCTCGTCACTGTCGGCCACTGCATCGATGTCATCCTCGTCAGTGTCTAACGTGTCTCGATGCGGCTCTACACAGTCATTGTCCATCTGTAGCCGACATAACTCTGGTGAGTACTTATCGTTCTGCTCCACTGCACACGATTCTTCGATGCAATGAAAGCAATTTGGGCTAATCGGCTCACGTATTACGGACCTAGCGAGAAATCTGTTTCAAATGGGTGTTTAATCTGTGTTACGCACTTTCGACGAAGCCGGGAATTTTAAGGAGGGCGTGATGTTTTTAAATGCCGTCGCAGTTGTTCACAGCTTTTCCTCCGACTGTGTTGTATTTTAAATTCATGCATATCATGCTAGAAGTTGCTGGTGCTTCTCGAAAAGTAAGTCAGTTCAACTGACTATGGGAAATGGTGATAAATGATTCGCAGGTCATTTAGGATTTTAGGGAACATCTGAATTACGTATCATTCACTCAACTACGTGTGACGGGATATAAATCTCACAAGCATTGCTGTCGTCGTACAAATGATCCCGGATGTTGTCAAGAAGCGAAAATTAATTATTTGTAATTTATATCGATGCGAGTATTGGTTATTGTGCCAGTGACCTGAAATGATTTATCAGAGCTTGCACTGAAAAGAAGGAAGTTTCAAGATCAACTCATTAGGCTCCTTCACCGCGGTTCTGTTCAACAGACTCTACCACCGTCATTGAATTGCTTATGAATACTGTGCATCAATTAAAGCAAACCTGAAAATGCAGCTGTGAACGAGTGGTTTTGGGTACCCGAGCGTCTGAGTTATTCAAACCTGCGAAACCGCGGTTTGATCAATACAAGGATTCACCAAGCCAAGCTGCCCAGCGTTTCTTTTCAATTACGGTCTTGCCTTCGACAGTTTCGTGCATTTCGAATTCTTGTACAACCATCACGTTAATCTTCACTAAAACGAAAGATCGCTCAGAAGACTTGTTCATTGGCGTAGGGTTGCAAGATTTGGGTATCATCCCTGAACATTTCTTCGTGTAAATTGTATAAAGGTACTGTAGTTGCATTGAGTCTTGGATCACGGGAATGTAACGAAATACTGTATTGTAATGAAATATAAGTGTGACAGGTAACCACGAGTGTCACGCGAAAATGCTTTGCTTTTTTATTTTGCTCCTCTCTATTTATTACTGGGCAACGGGATATTCGAACAATCGTCACCATCTGGTCAATTATCATTCCGTAAAATAACCTTGACCATCCCAGATAGTGAGAAACTTTGAACAAATCCTCGTTTGTAGCTGTTCGTATAAAATTGCTCCTGAAAGCTAAAATCTGACGCAGCAAGCATTTAACCCGAATTTTGAAGTAGATGCTGGTCCGTTGTCATTCAAAATTCTGAAATTATTCTTCCAAAGGTCGGCATCATTTCTTAGTGAGGCAATTACAGTATTTAAAAAATAATTGTGGATATGATCAGTTTAAAGTTATATTTCTCGTTGTGAATGCGGTATTTCATTTTTCACCCGCTTCGATTATCGGTTCAAAACTAACATTCGATGTGTTTCAAATCACTTCGTAGTGGAATCTATCCAGAGCGGCGGGAGCAATCAAGCTCAGGTAGAAATGTTGATGGCAGCGCTGCGTGCGAAGAAGGAGGCGTTGGAGGCTAAACTGCAGGAGAAATTGGATGAACTGAAAAAGTTGTGTCTGCGTGTTGGTGAACTGACTGGTTCCTTGCCACCTGAATATCCTCTGGCGCCTGGGGAGAAAGCTCCTGTTGTACGTCGACGAGTTGGGACTTCATTCGCATTTTCGTCTGATCTTTTGTTGAAGATCAAATGCAAAGATGTGAGTTCTTCTTCGAATTATTCTCAAGGGTTTAACCGATCACTTTCGAAAGATCGAATCAGGAAAATTCAGTGTCGTGAATCTTAGATTATAAGGTGCTCCATTGAATTAAAGCTCGTGTAATTTTCCGTTCGTCGATCTATTAAGTTGTCGACCGTATTTTGAGAGAATTCCATTTTATATACAAATCTTAACGACTTTTGTTTGTGTACTCGTATGCGTATAAATTAAAAGCTTTTTGTCTTCAAATGTTGAGAACCTTTTTATTCCATTCAATTTACAGTATCAAGAATCAGAGGAGTTTGTTGCTTCGAAACTCATTTTTCAGTAACCAGCTTAAGGTCTTCGAATTAAAATCAGGATTCTCATTCATGTTCCCTTCATTTGAAGATGGTAAAAATAACTTTTTTAATTCCAAGTTTCGACCATATTTCTTTAAAACACTGTAATTGTGCTCGGACATCGTCATGCATTTCACTGATGATTTTCAGACGTCTTCTAATTTACGACACCCGCTGATCCTTACCCTACTCTTATTTATTTGAGATGCCTTTCTTTAAATATTTTATTACCTGGGTAGATTTAACATCGGTTACGGTAACTAACGGAACCGTGTAGAAATTCCGCTTTGGCTCTAAGTGACTTCTCAACTTTTGAGTTATGTGTAATATGGTATCGTTGTGTTCTGATTCGCCGACTTCTCGTTTTGCAGCAAGACGCGCTGGAGCTTGAGTATGAGATCCAGAAGCGAATTTTATCAGCATCACATAAACTCGCTAATGACATGAAAGCGAAGAAATCTGTGCGCAAACAGCGAAGACACTCGTACCAGCTTGCCAAAATCAGGCTTCAGGAATTGGAAGAACGGCTGCGATGCATTCGGAGTGGAAAACCGCTGGAAACATCAGCTTCGACTTCAACCTTGCCTTCTTCCTTCTTGATGACCAAGAAGAAAAAATCTCTTTCGCATCTACTCGGAGGTGAACAGATCTACCTTAATATTGCTTTGTATGTCACATACTTTTGCGGATGTTTCTGAAGAATTTAAGAATTTCGGCGAATTGCTTGGGGAAATTATCTACGTTCATTGCTCCAACAGGTAAATCGGAGTCTTCCCCTGCCTTCGGTAGCTTGATGAAGAAAAGAAGCAAGCCTGATTTAACTCTCGCAGAATGGAAGGAGCCTAAAAAAGAGACAGTGGAGCTGTCTCACATGCCACATTCTCCTCGCATATACCGTCCCAGGTAAGTTGAGTTTAAAGATTTTCCCTCACGTACCTTGACAATTTTTAGAAATAGATTTCTGAAATTTTTCTTTGTGACTTTTGGAAAGGATTTCCTTCCGTACATTTATTTTTTCCTTTCATTACTACTTTTAAGCAGATCGCAGTCACAAAGCGATTTGGATGAAGGTGTGGGCGTGCCAAAAGCAGAACGAAGAAGCCATACTCCTCCGCCCAAGATTGAGAATGGCAAAGACATTCTCAGCGGACTTGCGCAGAATGATTTGGCAGTACTTGGTACTCGTCATCGTCAAATGAGTCCAGTCATCCCTCCTAATTGCGTTTACAACCAAAGACCTATTGCCCGACGATCTCAGCATCAGGCCAATTCAAATTCACACTTCAACTATGACAATGGTAATTTTTAAAACTTGTCAGCCTCTGATGTGTTACGACTTTATAAAATCAGCATTCCGTTGAGTGGAGGTTGTGAATTATTTTCAATTTTTTTTTTGTTACTCATACTCAAATTGAGTCCCTCAATATTCTGAAAATTTTTAGGGTATTTCTAGTCATACACTGCCTAGTTCTTCGTGCGCGGGGTTATCCGGGTTTGCACATTTGTTGGAATCGGGCATCATGTTTATTCAATGAAGTTAACCCAGTGTATTGTACTGTTTGTACTTCCACAGATCTCGCTCAAAGAGCAGAAAATTATGACTTAGATGGACTTGAAAGATCGGGAATTCATCACCTTCCGAGACAACGCACGAGTCTGGCGCATCAAAGTCTGGAGCGTTTGAATCCCCCTTACGATCATACAAGGTGGGGTTGATGAGTTTTTCATTTAAACCAACGCAGTCTTTCGTCGAAATCTGCGTTTTTTGAGAAAGAACGGCTTTCCAGTGTTTCCAGAATAACGTAGTCAGGACATTTCTATCTTCTGACACTCTAAACCAGCGTTTGTGTACAGTGCAGTGCTTCCTGTTCACATGTTTTTGTGATGTGTTGTTTATTCTACATTCTGACGCATAGTAAACTACAGATAAATCAAGCGCATATTTTTCCTAGTCAGTCCCATGAAAAAAAATATAATGTACTGCGTTTTGCTTGCTGTATGCGAGAATAAGCAGATGCAGATGAAATGCACATTTCGGCGGATGATCGACGTTCGATGTAGTGCGGGTTTACTAACATTGTAAATCTGTCTTTTCTTGCACGAAGTAGGTATGCAAGCTTGGATACACGCAAGTACAACACTGGCGGGAAAAGGATGGAAGCGAAGTCAGCGGAATGTCTGGATGCATTGGACGGTGACGAGGACAAAACCTTGGAGGAAGACGAAGAAGATGAGCGACAAGCTTTGCGAAATGCCAGCTTGGGATTCTGTGGAACCGATGTGATTGATGGTAGCCAGTTGTACCCGCCGATGGCCATGTTCCGATCTACATCAACAGCGAGCACGGTTGAGAACAGCAGCAGTCACCACATGATGAATGTGACCGCAGATGCCCTGCCTGCGTTTTATGGGACTTCTTTGTACAAGAACGGCGCGATGCAACGATCTCAGAGTGCTTCAACTACCATCAATGATGGCATTGGGGCCCGTCGCACCAGCAATGGCTTGCCGCCAAGGATCATAAACGGGATTGAGAATCTCAACTTGGGAAATCATCATGCTAGCGCGAGAGGTTCGTCCATAAAATGTTGAAAAAATATTTCCCCGTAATTGTGATATACGAGCATTTGACGCATTCAGTGTTGATGTCAGTGTACTCCTTTTTTCTGCATCGGCGGGAGAAAAGGGGTTGACAAGGAGTAATTGAGAAGTTTTGCCAATGCGTAAAAAAATTATGCCGGTTTTTTTTTGCATATGGAAAAATGCTTCAATTTATCGCCTCAATCAACTTCACTGACGTTTTCTTCAATGCTTCATAATCTTACGAATCCTACTTCCCAAGAAAATGCCATTACATGAGCGCTGTTTTTGTTTGGACTTTTGAATTTTTGAGGGAGAATCCTCCGAACTGGTGTTGAATCAATCCCAATCATTAAGGTAAGTCAGGTAAAGTATGTTTAATGAAAATTTTTTAGTGCCGACCGGATTTGGGCAGCTTATTGTGAATTGTTCATCATCTGAAATTTTTCGGAATCTCCGCACTGAGCTTAACCAATCGATAAATCCGGCGGCATCAGAATATTTTCTTCCTACCTCACCTGACTTTTAGTTTATCTTTTGAGAGATTTTTCTAGAAGTAGGTAAAATTTGCACTACCTACATATTCATGAATTGTGCAAGTGTGCTGAATGGACCTAACCTTGGTTCCAGACATTCTTAGGGTTTCTCTCAGGCGTTTTTCTTCTGATTTTACCTAGGATTTAAAATGTTTCGAATGAGGGACAGGGAAGGATTACATTTACCGTTTTCCATAAAACATTAAATCCATTGTGAGGCATACGAGGCCTTTGGAATATTCCTTCAGTTATACTTTGTACTGTCCTGTACTTCAGAAAACATTTTAAGGCATTTTCCGTTGAATAAAAGTCATTGTCTCAATCAGACTTAAACGGTGAGTGTCTGTCGAATTTATCCCGTGTTTTCATGAGCATCCTACGAATTGGAAAATTAAAATTTTTACTTGTTCTCATTTTCAGTACATCCTCCACATTCCTTGGCTAACTTCCAGCCACCAACGGCGGCATCGTCGAGAGTTGTTTTCTCGCGTACGCTGCCGCGATATTCGACGTGTTCCAAGGTGGTTCAGAGCTCAGCGGACGTTGTGAAGTCTGTGGCTAGAGAGAAGCGCTGGTATGAAACCTCTCTGGATGCCCCACCAGCGCATCAAGTGAAGGACGAAGACGTGAGTGTCTTTTTTGTGATCAGCAATAGTCAGGCAGAACTATTGAACCATTCAAGCGCAATTTTGCGCGTTGGTTCGTTTTCAATTTCTTTTCGGAGTTTCCGTTCTTGCTTATTGAAGCGGTGAGCTAATGTGAAGAGCTCTAATTCTCGAAAGTGGAAGTGCAAAAGCTTAAGTTGGGGTATTGAACGTGGCTCTCGCCATTTTGATCGCTTGCCTTTTTCAATGCATGAATGTTTTTGATTCTGCGCTTTTGAGTCTACATCTTCTGGTGCATGCCCTGAAATGGTTTACCTGTTGAGGCATTGAATGATGAACACTTCCCGTTTTTTTGCCTGATGCAGCTGGACATGGATGCAACGATGAGTCGAGTGCTGGCCGTGCCATTCCAATCAGACCGTGCGGACGATTTTCAAAAAGTGCCTTGCGAGTTTCCGAGGAATCAAACTGCGATTTCCGCGGGACGTTGGCTTCCTGTTAAGGTTACGACGAAAAGGTTTGTGTTATCGATTGAAAATGAGATGCTATGCCTCTCTTTAATTCCCCCCCCCAAAAAAAAACAATTGCTAAGTGTTGCGTGTTTTTTGCGGGCAGGTTTGAGATGTCGGATTGCTACAAATATAGTACAAAGTATAGGAAACCTCCTGCTCTAAACCCTTGTGCTGTGGCGGAAGGAAAGAACGGTGGGTCTGGACCATCGAGTCCGTCGCCATCAGTCCGTTCCGATTCGTCCACTGGGCACCAGCATCTGAGCCATGGCTACCATCATCATCAGAAGCCGCCTTCACAGTCGCCACAGATTTCACCTGTTGTACACGCGCAGAGGCAAGTTATTTTTTGTTTGTTTATTTGTTCGTGTTACTTGTTTTCTGTGCACTACTCAGCTCAATTCTCTGTGTTTACTGCGAATGTTTCTTCAGTCTTGCATTTGTATTAATGTAGTATTGTACCCGAAATCTTGAACACAGTCGAACCTTGTCGAGTCGGACTTCATTCGAGTCGGGGAAACAAGCATTTTTGTTTTGAGAAAGAAAGAAGAATCACAGAAAACTGTAATTGGTGGCTTTAAATTGCTTTTCAAATCAGTTGACGTGATGCGAAACTTGGAAGCAAGTTTTCATTTGCCCAATCAATATTTTCTGTGTCAATAAAATTACTGCCGAAAAACCTCAGAAAATTCGGGTTACGAGACAACTCACACAGCGACAACTCACACAGCGACAACTCACACAGTTTTTTTTTTCAGTAATTTTTTTTTAAATCTAGGTTCTGGTTACAATGTATATACTTTCTATATACTTTCTATGAATGTAGATTTCATTTGTTCCTAAATGTCTTGTATTCATTTACAAAATTGGGCTTAGAACATGAAAAATGCCAATATAAATTTGTCTAATGAACAGGATTCTGTTCATCTTGAATTTTTTAGTGCTTTTGTTTCAACCTAGTAATTCTTTCCTCTTATGTCCTAAATTAATTGCATGCATTAAGTATGGATTTTTTTTATTTGTATAAATTTTTATAAAATTGAGCCCCCAGTCATTTGTATGGCTCACAGCAATTTTCCCAATTTTCATAGGGATGTTTGTGAAAGAATGTTTTTGTGATGCTCAGCATATGGACAAAAAATCCAAAAGATTTTATTTCAACATCCTTCAAAATGCTTGTGTTTTTAACCTATAGTCAAGGATAATTTTGTCCTCTTCTCTCCTCAAGTATTTGTGTTCATTTGTCATGATGTATATTTTCAATGCTTGTGTTTTCAATGCAGTCAAATATAATTCTGAGGCATGTATTAATCCATGTTCTGTCTATAGGAATCTAGCCCCAGTAATTCTTATGAATCACAGAAATTTTCCCACCTAGTCATTGATGTAGATATTGTTTGATTGGACAATGGATTTCCAATGGTTGTAGAGGGTTTCTTTGAAAATGATTGTGAAATGAAATTGGAGAATTTTTCCAAAGAAAAATGATATATTCAAATATGGAAACTTCATGGGAAATAACAGCATTCACAAGCCACATCTGTAAGTCATATGACCATTGTGATGATGCAGCATGTGGACAAGAAATCCAAAAGATTTTATTTCAACCTCCTTCAATTTTTAACTTTGTGCCTGCTTGGGCCCAAGAGGAAAGAATAAGAGGAAAGAATTACTAGGTTGAAACAAAAGCACTAAAAAATTCAAGATGAACAGAATCCTGTTCATTAGACAAATTTATATTGGCATTTTTCATGTTCTAAGCCCAATTTTGTAAATGAATACAAGACATTTAGGAACAAATGAAATCTACATTCATAGAAAGTATATAGAAAGTATATACATTGTAACCAGAACCTAGATTTTAAAAAAAATTACTGAAAAAAAAACTGTGTGAGTTGTCGCTGTGTGAGTTGTCGCTGTGTGAGTTGTCGCTGTGTGAGTTGTCGTGTAATCGCTGTGTAAGTTGTAGAGGTTTGAGATGGGAACGCTTTCGACTTTGGGAGGATCGAGGTTCAACTGTTCAGCAATATTTACTTCAAATGTTTTCTGTCCGCAACTTTTCATCCTAAGGCAATATTCACAATGAAATGAATTTTCCAACTGCTGGCATACCTGTTATAAATTTATTTGAAGCTAATGTAAAGAATAAATTCGGACCATTTTTTGTGTCTCGTGCGTATGAATGTTGAGGGTCGATCTTCGAGCTCGATTTATTTCTCCAATTGAAGTCCGAATCTGAATGTTGTAATCAAGTGAATTCGAATGAACGCGTGTGAAGTGCAATGGGAATAGCTGAAAAAAATTTGATTTTCTCTGGGAAAATTGAGTCATTTTAGATAATTGGAGTGGGGCGTAAGCGTTGAGCAGTAAATTATTGCGTGATATTGTGTGGGTTTTTCGTGTCGTTGATAGTCAGTAAGAATCGAATGTGATCATGCTCAGAAAGGCATTGAATTTAAAATTGATGAGAATGATAATGTGCACTGCATGAAACATTATTTTGAGGGTTGGCCAGTCGTTTTCTGATCTTTATTCCTGGTGTGCCTGAGTTCAAGTCAACTTATAAATTCATAATTTTTATTTTTTGTTTTTCATTTTTTTAATAGGACTGCGGTTGGAAGCCCGAACAACAGCTTCAACTTCGACATGCCGGAGTCTCAAGCGGAGGCCTTCCAGCAGGAAATGCTAGCCTGGGTCAACCAGGCCAAAACAAAACCCCAGCAGTCCAGACCTGCCACTCTTGTATAAAAAGGAAAATGATCACACAAATGCAATTTCTTGCCCATCTGTTGAAAGAGTGACGCAATGTTTGTTGTTCGACTGAAAGTTGATGGTGCTGATCTGGGCTATCTTGCTCTTTGGGGAAAGGTGCGTTTGTTGACTAAACTATGTAAAAATTGGCTCTATTCGAATATCGATTTCAAAAGACCGTTCTGTGTACTGTTCGATTCGTTTGTGGAAGATGTCATGTCCAAGTGCTTTTCAGTCCATAGTAATCTTAAATTTGTGTAAAGAGCTTGCAATGTATGTGTTGACTTCATCTAAGAAGAGTTTTTTTGTTTTGTTTCTTACGTAATTGCTGAATGTTCTCTCAATTCGTCCGTCGAAGGAGCTTCTGATCTTCGTTATCGAAATCACTAAACGTTGAAATTTTTTAGGTCCGAAGTCTGTTCTACTTGTGTGTTTTATTTTCAACTTGAAAAATGTGTACAAATCACGCACCGTCCCCTGAATTGTAAGATAAGCGTTGATCTACGCCAGAATCCCGTTTCTCGGGTTAGCTCAATTATTAACGCACAGAAAGGATGCGCCATGTTTGCTGTGCGCCTATCCAAAACTCCGTGCATTTTTTCCCTTTGTGCTCAACAATTTTTTGCAAAAAAAAAAGAAAAAAGAACCACCTCTTGCGAAAAAAAGCTTTCGCAAACATTTGACCTCATGCTGCGTTTGTTTTATGGCGACATGGAAAAGTGGGAAGATTTTTTAATGAGTGATGTATCGGATGTACGTTCCGTCCTTCGGAAATCGAAACGAAAAATAATTTGGAGGAATAAGTTTTCATTGATTTGGAGGATATGCATTGGATATGTCTGTGTGCCTTATAGTGTTTGAAACATTTCCGGACGAAACTTGTTGTTCCTGTTGCGACTTGTTGCTTATTATTTTATTTTTCTCCGTGCCAATGGGACCGACCTTTCCAATGTTGACGAACTATTTTTGTGGAAAGAAAAACGTCACTTACATCTTGAGATTGCTTGCGCGCTTTCAAAAAAAAAAAAGAAAAGAAAAACGATTTCCATTTATTCGCGTGATAGTTCTTTTGAAGTACGCGTTATATATCCGTCTATATTTTGTCTTTCTTGAGTGAATAAAAATGGCTGGGAAGTTTTCAACCTACGTTCATCTTCATGCTCAAAACTTTGCCCGTCTTAGACTCAGGCGTGGCAATTTTTAGATTTCGAGACGTTGTTTAGTATGCGCCTCACTGCGAAAAGAGGGGTCAGCGTCGGTCCTTTCAATCTCGAAAACGTGGAATTTCACGCTGAGGTGAAAGAGTAGCGAACGGAATTCTGAAAAAGTATTCGAAGAGAAAAAGTCGAAGCATTATTAAAGACGGTCAATTTATTAAATACATTTGTGAATATTCTAAACGAATTGTCCAAATCTGGCGGCCATATTTACTGTGCACACAAGTTCACATGTTGAGTTCTGCTTGCACTTCGTATGCATGAAGTCCTCGTTTTTTTTCAAATGCAAAATTCTGCTCGGACAAGGGTCCGAGATGGAAAGTCAAGTGCTGCCATGAATCGGCAGATTCTCTTTTCCCTTAAAACAAATAATTTTAAAAAGTAGGAATCCGTAAGATTGCCAAGCAAAAGTATGCAATTGGTCTACATCTACATGCTGTGTTGTTGACTGAATTCAATCACAATACTGTATATTCCCCCTTGTCAATCATGCACAAGACTTTGAGAACATCTGCTGGTTGTCCTCGTGAATGTATGAGCTCGTCGCACTGCATTTCCGAAAGGGCTGTTCAAAAGTGTTCTTGAAGGAAAAGGGTTGAGAAGGCAATTTCATTCGTTTCCCAAAAATGTATCTGGTCATGGTGAATGCAGAAACCACAAAAATTGTGCTGGAACGGGAAGTGCTGCCGGATTTCCTCTCTAAAAAAAAAAAGCGAGGCAAATAAGTCGGGGAATTCGGTTTTCAGCAAGGACGTGAAAGTGCTGAGGCCTCGCACGCGGTTTCCAAGCCGTTGAGCACAATTACAACATATCACGCGTGCTGTACTATCAAAAAGAAGCTAGGTAAAGGACAAGTGCAATTGCGGGCAAATTTGAAATCTCCCAATTATATAAGTATGATGCGTAACTTCTAGGATAAATAATATAGCTCACTGTCCGAATAACCGAATTGCTCAACAAATTCCTGTATATCGGCTATTGAAGGGTGTAATTCTTGCCAGCAGAATAGGAATCAACGATACGCATGAAATTCGAAGCTGTAAACAAACACTGCCCAAACGATAGGCATCATGATGCTGAAGTTTGCTTTCTGTATGCTAAGATACAATTCCGTTGTCTATACAGTGTAACCAAATTTCATATCAAAACAATTTTTTGCAGTCCGCCCTGAATGATGAAAATGTCTTGCGCGGTATAAGAACTTTAAAGAAGTCATTAATTCACTAACCATACAATGATAAAAAGAAACAATGAAGAGTATGACTTATTTGTAAAGTATACAAAATTATTCAACTCATGAAATGACCTTGTTTACATCTATATGGTTTAATTTTCCTGAAGTTCCTTGCTATATGCATTAATTGGTTATATTGTACTTCGAAATTTAATGAAAACAATAGTTTGAAGAATGTAAGTGCGGTAATTACGAATCAAATCCTCGAGAGGCCCCTAAGCAATAAGTGGTAAATATTTTTGAAAATTCGTAAATACCAAGGGTTTTATTGACTGAGGAAACCCAATGAGTTACAGTTCATTAATTTTAATAAAGATTGGCTATTCTTGTGGCAGTTTCGCGTATCCGACATAAGAAAAAGCACGAGATTCCTCGTATTATTGTTTGGATCTTATAAAAGGAAACGAGTCAAGTTGAATTTTAGAGGTGTTTCAGACTTGCAGAATGCAGTACTGTATATACTCTTCGAAGTATATGCATGAGATATATCCCACAGTGTAGGAAGGAACCTGCAAATTTATAATATCAGAACACACTTGCTGCATAATGAATTCCTGAATTTTTAAAATAATTTGTACCTATATAGTACAATAAAATCTTGTTACAAGGAAGTGTCTGGCATCTTTAAAGAGTTTCGGTATAAACAATAAATCTTTGAAAGTATTGTAATTAAAATAATATTGTGTCTTTTATAGACAGTGGCCGTAAAGTCAAAATTCTTTGGAGGCATTAATTTGCTAAAACGAGATTCGTTGTAACAAAATTCTTCTGCATTATGTAATTTGCGAACAAAGCCCTGCCTCAGCCATGTAGTGTATGTAATAATACGGTCGGTCACTTTCACATACAGCGAAAGATTAACACCCAAAAAACGCCTTTCATAGCTGTAAAAAATGTTTTGGCGTCGAGTAAGGCGTAGTGGTAACTTAGTATGTGTTGACACGTTCTTATTAAATTCTATTCTTTCGCCAAAATAAAAGTTTTTTTAGTATATTTTTAGGCGCCTACTTCCTTTTTATGTAAGTAGCTTCTAAAGTTTTTAAGTCAGTGAAGACTTGAGAAAAGTAATTGTTCAATAACAGCACCGCAAGCATGATTACTTCAGCAATCCTTCATCGGATATGGTTCGTATAAAGCCGTGTCCATCTTGCAAAAATGTATGACTGCTTCGATTATGCAACAAAACTCAACCAGACGAAGATGAAGAGCTGCTGCTGTGCCTGAAACAAAGTTTGGATTGTAAATCCATATTCCAATGACTTGATAAGTCAAGATTCGTCGGCACTTACTTCTTGCTGTATTTGGGATATTTCTTGTAGTGCTTCTTCACTGGCTTATACTTCTTATACCCGGAGCTGGATGACGAGCTGCTGTAACCGGGCCTGTGTAGAAAAAATAATTATAGTTTGAATATAAACTGTAATTCCGATATTTTAATTGAATTTATTGGGGCACTTACAAAGCATTGGCGAGAGCCTCAGGACGCCCAAGTCGCCTTCGTCTCTTCTAGTTAGGCCGCTAGTTCTGCTTGCGTTTTTGCTCGACCACTAGTGCCTAATTTTATTTTAAGCTATCTCATGTACAGACCTTAAAAGCACGACTCCACATTTCAAAAATCTCACCTTTCCCAAATGCTGCATGTCGAGTTTTTTCTTCTTTGATTTCGGAGACGAATGAAAATAATAACAAATGGGGATTGCACTTCCTGAAATTTATGTCAAGTTCAAATTATTTCATCATGTAAAAATAAAACAAATTATTGTGCTATATATTTAATAAATGAATTCGGAAGACTAAAAATCTATCTTCAAAGTTGAAACGAAGTTGTACACTGCTTTTTTCGATACAACTTTTAGCGACACACTTTAATTCAGAATTCAGAATTATATATCTTGATTGGTGCTATTTTTGAGCATCATTCGTCTTGGAGTTTATTATTAGAGCGTTACATCAAAAGGCTCAACAACATAAAACTGCGGGACTAACCGCTAAAATACAACTATATATACAGTATGTGCAATGACCAGCTTGCACCCGAGATAAGTTCATTTATTTAAATCATTTTTTCAATACAATACGAGTATACGGTATAGTACCGAATTTGAATTTGGATCATGAATGTTCTTAACGCGTTCATTTTCCTTCTTTCTATCACGAGATAATTCGTAAAAAATGAATATGCAGCATGTTATTCTTATTCATATCAAGATGATCATATTGAGACCTTTTGTTTCGTTACACTGTCTTTAATTCGATCAAGGAGGAACGTTTAAAAAATCATCTCTAAAATATGCGTCAGTGGCCCTCGGAAATGTCACAATGAACATAGTCTTTAAAGTGTCTGGCATATAATTGAATGAGTTTCACTCAATTGCGTTGGATTCACAGCTACTCAAAGCACAATGATCTTGATCCTTCATTTAAATCGTTGATTTTTTTTTTTTTAAATTCAGCATATATTTAAGGGAAGGGTAAGGTGATTTAATGGCGAGAGAACTCGAACTGATGCTGGATTGAGACTGTTACCCGGGTATTTATACCCGGAGAGCCGAAAAACCTCGAATAAAATACCGTATGAATGCAAGCGCGTTATTGCACGCATGCTGATGAAGCACTGTACTGTACTTGACTGCCTTCCCTCAACTGTACACGTTCTGCACGGTACTCAAGAACAAGTGTTGTACTGTATATGAAGGGGAGGAGTCAAGGGGAAAATATGGAAGTTGGAAGATATTCTAACATGTCTGCCATTTAGCAAAAGTTGCCCTGACTCCTGAAGTCCTGAGATACCCTTGTTATTTGTTGAGTTATTTCATCAGCATAATTACGCTCCTTTTTTAAAAGTCACGGGTGAGGATCTTTGCAAAATTCTGCAGAAAATTTTTGAGACAGTTGCTGGTCAGCAAAAAATTTCATGCCAATTTGCCACTATCCATAGACTTGAAAAGGCTGAGGAACACTGATCTAGAGCATGCCAGTATAAATATTATTTGTAATCATTTGTCTGCTGAAAAGAAGGTCCATAATACTGTACACAAAACCTATTAATATGCATACTGCTGAATTTTTGCTTTGCAGAAACATTTTCAAAAGACCTGCATTTTGAACCGGTTCATGGGTGATTTCTGTCGTTCACTGTACAGTACAGATTGGGGCCCCAACATGCGGACACCCCAACATGCGTATGACTCGACCTGGACTTGGTAGAACTTATATGGATAACCCAAAAGATCTGCACCAACATCTAGATATTCTAGGCAACTTTTCCAGATACTACACTTTACAAAAAATTATAGAAAAATAGTTTTATTTCATTTTATGTATTTTGAACCACTCGCGCTTTTTTTTACTGTATTACAAAAATTGAAAATAAATTCAATTATATATTCACTATAATTCAAAATCCAAAACAGCATAATTTGTGCTTCTTTTCTAGAGTTCTTTTCATCATTTGAGCAAAGTATATACAAGACTTTTGGTTTCTTTGCTTTTGGTGTTCCTTTTCGTGCAAAAAAAAAAATCAGGATATACGCGTGTTTTTTTGCTGCACAGTTACACATCTTGATGGAGTACGTCGAGAAAAACAGTTTTATATAATTTTTGACAAAGTTTTTTCCTAATTTGGATTGGAAGGGGAAACAAATAGATTCCCACTCAAGTCTAAGGGAAAACAAAATTCGACGTGCGGACG